CCTCCTCCTTTTCTGGGTAAATTTCATACAGTCCTTAAGAAGTGCTGATTTTGTCTGATCAGCAGTGATAAAAGCTAAAGTTTATTTGCTTTACTGTATAAAACTCACCTTTAAGAGACCATAATCATAAAGGGTGTGTCTGAATATTTCTCCCCTCCTCCGACTCCCTCTCCGTGTTTGCATAACCATTGAACCAGAATAGAGAATATATTAAACAAACAGCGGCTGGAGATGTTTTGCATAATCAGCAGCAGGGTGATCAGATTAGGGGCCATTCAAATCGACTGAGAACAGCGTGAACCGGGATGAACTCGGAGGAGGAATCACTGAAGAAGAAGAAGAAGAATTACCTCTTCCATCTTGACTTAGTGAAGAGGACGAATGTATTTTAACAGAAAACTTGTGTCTGTCAACCGGCTGGCAGCAGAACGAGACTCTGAAGGAAGAAACCGGCTGACAGATAAAATAAATGTTGTGCACAGAGACCTCTCAGGGTTTGGAGCTGCAGAGCTGAAGCAGGAGAATAAAACCTTGTCCAGTGTCTGTAAGAAGAGACCTGCTGCTTTTATGATCCTTCCCCTGAGTGACTCACTGCTTCTGCTTTATTGGAAAAAGGTTAACCTCCAACCTGACTGCTTGTGTAGCTGTCAGAGCGCTGATGTAAACTGCAGCATCCAGAGTCTTTCTTTTAGTGTCTGTGGAGGACTGGGTGGCCTCTTATGTCTTAGTGTCTCTGGGGATGCAGCGTGGTTTACTTTCATGCATCTGTTTTCTCCTTATTGAAGCAGCTCAGTATCAGCTCACTGAGCCGTTGTCACAATAACCAGAATTGTTATGTGCGCCGCCGGCTGACAGTTCTGAATTTTTGTTGGCTCTGCACCGCAGTCGGAGCTGACGATCATTTGCGGCTCATCAGAGCTGCTGTCTCATTTGTTCATTTAGTTAGATCCCCATTACCCACTGTGTTATAACAGTGGCCACTCTTCCTGGGGTCCCCTCTAATTCATGAGCAATACTTCAATACCTCATAAGCTCAAAGACGATTTTACTAAAACACTAGGAAACAAAGGAACCAGCTTCAGAACGAGATTAGCTTGATGGTGTCAGTAGAGGAAAGGTCAGGGGTGGAGGTCTTCATGGGTTCACTCAGGTCCCGGTAACTGCAGCTGACCCGCAGCATGTGTTGTTTGTGTTTGCTTCCTGTTTGGGTCTGATTGGGCCAATCAGGAGAGACTGATAATGGGAACAAAAGAGGATGAGAAATTTGAAGTGAAATGGAATTTATTATTAAGAGAAGGAATACACTTTGGCGCTTAAGTCCCGGCAGGAAGTGGATCACCATGGAAAGCGGTCCATAAGTTTTAAGGTCCGTCCAGTTAGAGAGGAAACTTCCCCTGGAGTCTAGACACTGGTGGTGGTGAGGAATGGAGCTCGAGGATGGAACGTCTTCACGAGAGGGAAACTTCTGATCGGATGGTTTGATTTGATTTGATTTGATGATTTGATTTGCAGTCATGAAACTTTATTTTCCTCTGATTTTGATTCCAATAGCTCAATTCCTTTCCAACGCCAGTGATCTCTGTTTTAAACTCTGTAATCTGCACCGAGAGGAGCTCAGTGGAATCATTATTATGTAAAGCCAGAAATCTGTGGCATCACGTTGAGACTGTGGTCGCCACTCAGGAGATGGAAACTGCCCATGACTGGGAGCAGGATGTCCACTCTGATTACATGATCGGGGGGGGGGGGGGGGGGGGGGGGAGTCTTCATCGGGGTCAACGGGGAGACGAGAGACTGACTAACCTTTACGCACTGCATTGTTTAGACCTGAGGAAAAAACAAGGAGTTCCCCTGAGGTTCCTCATCAACAGCTTCGAACTGCAGCTGCTGATGAAGAAAACTCCCCTGTCGCTCACTGACACTGAGAAACAACAATCCTTTCAAAAACTCTTCGTTTATCCCAGAGAACATTAAATCTAACGTTCAAAAGCCTTTTCAAAAGGTGCACAACGTTCCCCTTAATTTACACTGGAGGTGTTTACCACAGATTTGAGGTAAATTAATGGATTGCAACATGTTTGTTTGTTTATTTATTTATTTAAAGGTGCAAATTTAAAACATCACTACATATTTTGTGTTAATCAATTAATACATGAATTGTTATTACTACATGATTATCTACACTGTTACAGGGGGAATTAAGGGATTCTTTCCATGTTATTTGGTCACTTGTAAGGGAATTACAATCCATTAATTTATCTAATTTTTCCCCTTAAAAGATTGTAACATTATAGTATTAATAAAATGAAGGTTATTGCATTAATGTTGAACCCCTTAAATGACCAAATTGAAGAATAAAAAGAGCTTTTCTTAGTTTTGAATTCAAGGATGGCTTCAGATTTTTTTCTTAAAAGTCCTCACTATGAAGCTGAACACGATATTCATAAAATCTATTTATAATCAATACCTTAATATGTTGCAATCCATTGTATCATTCAATTCCATTAAAATGTTACTTTCATCTTCCTTAAATTGATGGAATTTTAATGAAAAATTAAGAAATTTATGTTAAAATCCCTTAAAACCAACAGAATGTTGTGAAATGTTAAAGCCTTCCTACACTTTTATAAAGCTTTATAAATCTGTGGTTTCAGATAATTTATTACTTATCTATTAAAATTCTATCTATCTAATCCATTAAAATTCATGGATTAGCTCACGATTATTTACAGTAGAAATGAAGCGATCAACTCTGATAAGACTCTGACTTTCTCTCTGTTTGTCTTGTTTCTGTAGCTGAGTTATAAAACCTCACATGTATTTTCATTTCTTGACTCTGTTTTCGTTGCACATCGTCAGCCCAGACACACAGTGTGATGGAGCACCGCATGATCTGTTTCCATAGTGATGTGAGGCTGGTTGTCGTGGCCCTGTGCCATCATCCCCGCTGTAAAACATCCTGCTGCTACCCAGAGTGATAATGACAGAGCCATGAACCTCGGCATTAACACTGAATGAACAGTTATAGAGACAATAAACAGCCAGCCGCATGCTCAGGCATGTTTATCCATTAAGTGGAGGATGTGTCACAGGGAATTACCTATAATAGTTTGTGGATATTGAGCATTTAAAGCTCGGTAAATAGTAATTTAAATCTTTTTTTTCCTCCTCTCTCTGTTGGATGTGATGTGGTCTGCAGCCGTGCAGAGCGAAGACAGAAAATGGGCAAAATTGGAAAGAATTTCTCTGGTGACTTTCACCAAGCTTTAGTCTGTCTGTGTGCTGAGCTTTGTTTTGTTTTTCCTAAGAAACTGAATCCCTCCGTGTCAGGAATCTGGCCTGGTTTTGCAGGAACAGAGCGAAACCTGAGAGTTTTTTTTCTTTTCTCTCAGTAATGATGCGAATGTGCTGCCAGCAGTCGTAGGCTGATGAACCGCAGGAGGGACTGAGGAGAGAAGCAGGAAGTGAGAGGGATCTGGTTGATGCTCGGAGACTTGGACAGAGACAGTCAGTCTGATTGGACACTTTGGACAGAGAGACACTGCAACAGCAGCCTCTGTGATCCGATCTGATCTGAAATCTGTGCTCTCGGTTCACAAGTCCATGCACGCGGATTGCAAACCTGTAGGCAAATGGCTCTTTTTTTTTTGTTCTCACATGACCCTTGGGGGCCGCCGTAGAGCACCTCGGCTACAGTGTGATATCATCTGGTGTTTGTTATCCAGGCTGGAGGAAGACAGGCACAGAGGAAGAGATGGAAAATGAGCTCAGGTTGTGTTTTTAGAGGGCTCTGTGTGTGTGTGTGTGTGTGTGTGTGTGCGGGCGCGGGTGTGTGCGTGTGTTAAGCTTTTGGCAAATTCAGTGTTGTGCAGAAAGTTTTGACCATTTATGGCAAATTCAGCTCCATTATGCAGATGAGAGCAGTTTAACATGTTGGTAAATCTCACGTCTGTGTGTCCAGTGCAGAGCTGGAGTCGTGGATGAGGACGTGTTTAGCCTAGTTTAGCATAAAGACTGGAAGCAGGAGGAAACAGCTAGCCTTGCTACAAGCCACAAGGCAAGGCATGTTCATTTATATAGTATTATTCAGACCCATGGCAATTCAAAGTGCTTTACAGAGAGAGAATACATTAAAAATAGAACATTTAAGATAGTATTTAGTAGTAGTAGTAGTAGTACTAGTAGGTAGTAAATAGTATTTTTAAAAACAAATTTTAATGAATAAAAATGAAAATATTCGAATACGTCATATCAACATTGCATAAAATTAGGTAGGAGACTCAGGACACCAGTTTAAAGTTCTGAGCGTGAAGACCGACTGATTACGATGATACAAACAGAGAGAAACACTGGAGAGGCTGGAACCAGAACACATTAGTTTCTCATTAGTTTCTTAGCTGTGCAAATGAAAAATATAAATAAACTCTGTGCAGTCAACTGATTTTTTTATTTTTACAATCAAAGATGTTAATACTGACAACTGAAGATGGACTGACTGTTTTCAGTCTCTGAAAACATCCCTCTCCTCTGAATCTTTGTCGTCTCACTGGAGCACATCAGTATGTTTTCTTTGTTCCTAAATGACTCGGATTCATCAGATTCACTGACTTCAACATTTAATTGATCTAAATAGCTGCTGATTCATTCAAATGACTTGGTGCACGTAAGTTAAACTTCCCTCCCTCAGATGTGTAGTCTGGGCTCAAGTGAGTTTAAAATGTGTGTGACTCTTTGTGTCTGAAAAGCCTTGGAACTGGACTTCCTGGTTTAAATTTCATCCTTTACCTGCAGCAACACGCCCTCACCTGCACAGCCCCTCTCTCATTGTTGATGTGAAATCTGACCACAAGGCAGAGTCTGGTGCTCAGTATTCAGCGCCTTCCCTCGAGCATAATACGTTTTTCTGTGTTGGTCTAATGTGATGTGTTTACTCTCTGTGTGTGTGTGTGTGTGTGTGTGTGTGTGTGTGTGTGTGTGTGTGTGTGTGTGTGTTTGTACAGGCCAGGCCGAGGCCGAGCTGAATGAGTTCAGTCCGTACTACAGGAAGCAGTTCTCTGTGGCCCAGTTCTCTCAGGTGGAAGACAACCTGGAGCAGCACAAAGAGAAGATCACGCAGCTGCTCAAACAGAGGGTACGTGGTTCCTGACCCAAAAATCAGCAGCTGAGCGTTCGGGCTTTAAAATCTGGCTGAATGAATATGAGGTTTGCTCACAGGCTGGAAAAATAACAGAACTGCACCAATCGGCACTTGTGCAGGTGTGATGTCATCCAGCTGTGTGTCAGTTCACCTAAATCACAAAGACGGATTAAAACGTCAGCTGCTCAGTGACGGTTAAATTTGGAAGCTCTGATAGAAAACCCGGGATGATTTCCATCCGTTCTTCCTTTTTAAACCCAGATATAACTGAGGGAAAACAAGAGCAACAGAAAGCAACCGTGAACAAAAAGTAAACCCGGGTTATTATTCCCACCTTTTGTCCCAATTATCCAATCAGGACACAGTAGAGAATGAGCTCATGAAGAGACCAGAACATCAAAACCAGTCATTAAATTATGAAATAATAACAGCTGTCAACACCATGATTGTTCCTACTTCTACTTTATATATGTTACTGTCTGACCTTTGACCTTTTTTCATTGTCTTTGTTTTCTTCACAAGCACCAGCCACGTTTCAGCTCAAGGTGCTGTACAGTAACAAGACGATAAAACAACAATCGATAGTAAAACAGCTACAAAGGCATTTAGAAAAAGAGGAGATTAACTTGAGTAGAAACAAGAAGTTAGATCAGTAATGATGATTAATTTAGAGGTTAATATGAGGGACTGAAAATTAGAAATTAAAATTGTGACATTAAAATAAACACAAAACACAAACAAATAAATATTGGGCAGCAGGTTCAAGTTAATTTGTATTCATTCATTTGTATTGCGTTATTTGGTCTCTACACATTAAACTGAATGAGGTCCCAGGTCATTTAAAGTCAACCAAATCTTCTTTCTTCTGCTGTTGTGTGTTGGGAGAGCGGCAGGAACAAGATCAATAAGTTGATCAAGAAGGCAGGATTGATTATCAGCCTGATTCCAGATTCTCTGGAGACCGTCATGGGTCAGAGAACCAGAGGGGAAGGTCAGGAGGTTCAGTCTCTTCATGAAGAGCGGCACTGGGGAGTTCAGGACGTTGTTTGTTGCCATGGCGATTCGGCTCTTTAATGAGCAACATCGATGCAACTGTCTTTTCAATTTAACGTTACTGATGCTGTTTTTTTAGGATGTTGTTTTATCTGTCCATTGACTTTACGCTTGGCGCTCGTTGACACACTAATTGATGCTGCAGTGAAAAATGTAATTCCTTTCAACGACTCTGCCTGGGGTCATTGATTTCTGATTAATAAAGTTCATCCTGGGTACAGGTATTTAAAATCACTCCCTGAAGAATTCCACAGGTTCACTCCCCATCTGTGATAATGTAGCTTCTGCAAGCTGATCTAAACTCAAACAACCACATTTCTCTGCTATATCCAGATTTTTGTCTCTGTACTTATTGATTCCAGTAAATCAGATTCTGTTCTTCATGTGTGTTGTCTGTGTCATCGGCAGGAGGCTCCTCAGGAGGCAGAGGTGCTGTACGAGGAGGGCGTCTTTTACTTTGACGACACCAGGAAGTGGAGGGAGAGGTACGTGGTGGTGAGAGCCAACTACTGCCTGGAGTGTCACGAGAGTCTGGAGGTGAGCGTGACGGTGAAACAGTCGAACAACACGACAAGCTACAAAAGACCATGGAGAATAAAAAGTTTCTGCCTTTTGTCTACTTTTTCTTCTTCTTCTTCTTCTTCTTCTGTCAGAGTTTTGTTAAAGGAGTTCCTCCGCGCCACAAGCTGCTGCCTACAGGGGGCACTGTTCTGACCACAGAGGAGCGCTACATGGCCATGGTGGACCGCTGTTTTCCTGATGATACCAGTGAGTAAAGACTTGATACCTGGAGAACAGTGATGGTTAATGCCAACGCTGTTTTCCCACAATGCCCCACAACTGTCAGATGTCACCACCTGCCTTACAAAGAATAATACACACAACGCAGCGCATCAGTTATATAACTAGAGCAATATAATTATTCTTGTTTATAATTATTCTGACTAATTAGTGTATTTTAATTACCACAACATGTTTGTCAGACACCAGCCAGACAGGAACAATAAACAGTAATGCCAGCGGCTGACACACTAATGTCACAAGCTGAGCCTGACGATCTGGGTCCGTCCCAACACCCACACCCGAGGGTGTGACGTATTTCTGGTAACATCCTGTTAGTGAGTCACTGCGCATGATCACATCAGCATCAGTTCACAGACTCTGAATTTAATACACATCTACAGTCATGATCTATATCTTTAAATCTATATCTTTAAATACTGTAACTGATTAGAATACAGATACTTTTTATTGCCGAAGATAACGTGACGCAGCAGTTGATGTGTAAAACGACACTTTGCACTTTAAATCGTTTCCCACTGTGACTCTGAACAGTAAACTTCACCCACGCGTGCTCAAAGCTAAAACCAGCTCAGGTGGGAGGACTGAAGGAATCTGGTAAAAACAGTGTTTAGATGTTTGTTAAATGAGAACAGGGACCGTCTGGAGGCTCCTGCAGGGACACACACGCACGCTTTGAATATCAAAATCAAACCCATGAATCCATGTGGAAATAAATGTTTTTTTTCTGGGTTGGCAGAATTATCTCTTCACTTCTCATCTTCTGGAACTCGTTTACTCTGAACAGTGTCTGTGTGTGTGTGTAGTGTGTGTCTGTGTGTCTGTGTGTGTGTGTAGTGTGTCTGTGTGTGTGTGTGTGTGTGTGTGTGTGCGTGTGTGTGTGGTGTCATGATACCTGGTACTGTGTGTTTTGATGACACAGTTCTCACTGGAATTTTCCTTAAAATCACGGTGCTGAGTGTCCAGCTGTAGAACTGGTTTGTCCTGCAAACACAGGCGCGTTTGAACATGCGCGAGCTGTTCCAGTTTATTCACCGTTCAGTTTCCCACACAGAGAAGCTGTGAAGCACTGCAGTGACCTGGGATTAACCTTCGTCAACACACCTGAGGAGTCTTCCTCTAACCTGAGTTTAATACTCGACTGAAGACGGCAGGTCGAAGGCACGAGGGGAATTAATTTATTAGCTAATTAATTTGCTCTGTAGAACCACTTTGACACTGTGGGGCCCAAACATGCAAATTAAAAACATCTTTTTTTTTCATTTGTTTTATTTGCAAGGCTCTATTTATTTAATATTAATGTTACCAGATGATGAATCGTAGCAGAGGTACAGGAGCTTAAACCTCTGTTTCATCTGCAGGTCACAAGTAGCAGAACTAACCCAACGAGACAAGCAAGACCAGACACATGATACCAGGTTACACACAGTAGAACAGAATAGAATAAACCTTATTGTACAGCTGAGGGAGGAACATTTTCTTTAGTCTCACTCAGAAATGAAAACATAAACATTACATCTCATCTGTTTTGTCAGACACACACCATGTAAATACCAAGTGGGTTTCTCCACAGTAATTTGGTCTAGTTATTTCCCTGTATATTTCTCTAACCTCTACTTCCTCAGGACTCTGGAATTACTGAAATGAAGAGGTAACATCATGCAGATATGTGTAACCTGAGAGGACAGATAGCACTGCTGTTAGTGCATGTGATGGAGCACAGTGTTGGTTCACCTGACCAGTAACGTCCAATCACATTCATGCAGGTGAACTTCACAGCAGTTGCAACCTGACACTTCCCATTGTTTCTCCTCTGATGCTCCCATGCCAACAGAGTTTCTGCCTCCACCACCACAACTTCCTCCTGATGATGATGATGACAATTTTACTGTCGTTGACTTTACTAAGATTTCATGTGTGTGTTTATGTAGCGACCGTGTCACATAAAAATGATGCTTCTACACAACTAGTAGACTGGCAGTGGCGATCCTAGACTCTGGCATAGAAGCCCATCAAAGAATTGTGCTTCATCAGTCGTCATAATCATTTTATTAATCATTCTATTTACTCTATTAATTAAGTGACACCATGTGCACACACATGTCCGAGTATTTGAACAACAAAGGAGGAGCATGTAAATATGTGGCCAAGAGAGATGTTGCAGTGTTTACCGCAGGTTGAGAATTTAGTTGTGGTGCTGGGTGGCGCAGCATGTGAATGGCGTGAATGCAGAGGCTCATGCAGTTTACGAGGGGAAGAGCATACCCCAGGATATTTTCTGTAGCTACACTTTACAGATGTCCCCTAAAGGCATCGCATGCATACTATCAGGAGAAGCCACAATTTACATATGTTCCTCAAATGCCTCACAGGCAGGCTATCAGTAGAAGTTACAATTTACATATGCTCCTTAAAGGTCACACATGAAAATTATCGGTAGACACTATAATTTACAGACGTCCCCTAAACACCTCACAAGCAAACTCTCAGTAGAAGCTACCATTTATGTATGATCCCTAAAGGCCTCACAGGCAGCTTATTGGTAGATGTTACAATTTACATATGTTCCCTAAACGCCTCACATGCAGCTTATCAGAAGACTCTAGTCAGAGCACACATCAGCAGAGGCCCCATGTAAGGGGAGCAGTGCAGTGTAAAGTGTCTCTCTGGGAGGTTTAAGGGGTTAATAGTTGTCACTGCAAAATGTGCCAATAGGAGGGGCCATTGGGGGCCCATTTTCCTCTTGGGGGGGCCCCAACCATTTTCCTGAGACAAACATTTGCATGCAAGATTTTTTCATTAAATCAAACTTTACAACATTTTAAATAATAGATTCATTCAAGCTATACACCAAACGGTGCACGTTGAATGAAATTTTGCTGCATTGGCTTACAATAGTAAAAACTGTAATACAACTACACTGCAACAAAGAAGTACTAAACATTAAAATAGGTCTAAATAAGAATAATAAATAACTAAAATGGAAAAAAAAACAGAAAAAACCACTAGTATATTGCACTTATGGATAATAAAAGGTGCATGTGACTGAAATACAGCAGAGAGACATTTAGATGTTTCATAGACTTGTACTGTGTGTCTGCCACCTGACCTAAGGGCCTTTTATTCAGATGGAAGGAGATCAAAGTCTCATCTGGTTCAGTTGTTGCCACTGAAATTTAAAGAGCCGAGTAACATCACACATGAAAGCTCAGAAGTCAGTCATGCAGCGTCTTCTGCTCTGTTAGACGTAGACAACCGCAGCCAAAGGTTGTGGCATGAAGACACATCAACAGAGTTACAATAAAAAAGTTGAATAATGAAATATACGGTAACATACCGTAAATCATGCTGAGACATTTTACTCAAAACCACAATGATTAACCTGATGGTGGCTGCAGAGGATCACCAAAATCATTAAGGTTCATCCTCTGCAGCATATGAATATCTTCAACAGTGGTCATGATATCACACTCTGGACCGAGCAAACGGATACCAGAGTCCTGCTGACAGGTGTGTGGCGCACAGGCCCTGGGAGAAAACATCAGTCGACCTTTAACACAGTCAGAAGAGCTGCTCTGTTAAAGCTCTTGTGTTCTCTGTTTCAGATGTGAAGGAGGACTTTGCTCCTCCTCTGTCGGGGATGCCAGGTCAGTTTCCAGTCTACCTGCGTCTGCCCTACAGGAGAGACTCCTACTTCTGCTTCAGGCAGCAGGCAAAGCAGGACGCCTTCCTCTCCATCCTGACAGACTGCATCAGGCACCAGAACCAAGGTGGGACACTGGGAGAACATACGGTAGATCTGAGTACAAAAAGACCATCGTCCGCGACAATAACAGAACAAACAGACCCCCAGGGGCCTCAGCCCAGAGTTTACTCATTATATCATTCAATAATTGTGGTCTACATAATCTGATCAATTGTAAATGTGTCAGGACTGAACTGAAGAACAGTATCAATAATATCAGGGCTTCTGTCCTAAAGAGAATCTAGTTTTAAGACCTCAACTGTTTTTTAGTCAGTTTGTGTTTTATCAAATTGCCCACATTTCTTTTTGTGTGTTAAGTCGTTAACACACAGACAACCTCATCATAGATGAACTGTAAGGCTGCAGCCAGTGGTTGTTCTCATCATCAGTAGGTCTGACAATTATTTACTCTAATAATCGATTGAGCATTCCGTGATGAAAATGTTAGAAAATAGTGAAAAAGCCTGAGAAATGTTGCGTTCACTGTCACAGAAAACTGGGAAAAAAATATTCACATCTGAGAAGCTGGAACCAGAGAAGTTTTGGCATCAATTATCAAAATAGTTGCAGATTAATTTCCTGATGAGGAAACTCCAAACTGTAAACCTCTCCATCCTGCCGGGAATCAGTCTTTGATTATCTCAAGACACACTTTGGCTGTGTGGTAATGACATGAACCAGTTTCAGCAGTTGCCATGACAACAGACTCACCACACCAGCTCCGAGGAGTGGCGAAGGATGTGGGGAGCGGCCGAGCGTCGTGATGAAGCTTCACATTTCATTCAGCTGATAATTGTCAAGTCACGGCGCTGAATCGCAGGGAACACACTCGACACTGACGACACGACGGCTTATAGATTTTTTTTTTTTTTTTTTTTTTTTTAATGTGTTATTGTGTCTGTCTCTTCCCTCTGTGTCAGACTTCCTGAAGAAGAAGACGTGCGAGGTTCAGGCCTTCCTCAAAGCCATCCAGCTCTACAGGCAGGTCAAAGGCAAATATGAGGCCTGGGACATGCTGATAGGAAGTGATGTCAGGGTACGTACCTGTCCTGATGATGATAATCACTTATTTCTGTTTTAGAGCTGGTTTATTACAAGTCGGATCTTATGTTCACCATCAGTCGTAATGACACCGTACTCGCCGACACAGTAGCTAGGCTCAACAAAGTGCGGCCGGTGAAGAAACGGGAGCAGTCAGGTTGTAAACGAGCATCGTCGTCACTGCCCAGGAAACCTGTGCACACAACTACAGCAAGCTCAGAGGGTCAAAGGTGAAGAAGGAAATGAGAGTGCAAACTGTGACGGATGTTTAACACAGACAGGTTAGAATAGAAAACCTTTGTTGTCAGTGTACTGTGCTGCTCCTGGTTGGTGCGTCAGGTTTTAAAACACAATTAAAAAAGTAATTAAACAAGAAATAGCTTCTCACACATTCAACACAGTCCTCATATGAATAGATAAAGTGTCTCAGCGCAAATATGTGTTAATGTGTTAAATATGTGTGTGAATATGATTATTGCAGTAGTGCAGATAAAAAATAATGATGAAATTTCATTTTGCATAATTGGAGAGGTAGCAGGTGTTAGATTTTGTTTCTCTTCCAGATGTTTGTTTACAATCATAGAAACAATGAAATGAGATCCAATAAACTCAGACAGACACAGACAGTGAGAATTTGCAGTGAAGTATTGGAACTATTTCTTTAAAATCATTATAACCCCACTAAGTGAAATCAAATCTAAACTACAAAGCACGTGTTCTGCAGAAAGATTGTCTGCTGAATGAAGGAAAAATGAAGAGAAGAAAAAAAAAAAGCCAAATACATTTTATTCCCAGAATTCTTCTTTGTGCGTCTTTGGACTCATTTTACTCGCTGATGAACTGCCTCTGTCAAACAGACACGCGATCCTGGAGACGACTGAAAAATTCATAAAACAGATGTCTGAGTGTTGAAGTGATGATGATGATGATGATGATGATGATGATGATGATGATGATGATGATGATGATGATGATGATGTTGTTGTCGTTCTGCTGGTCCCTGCAGCGTGGGTCAGATCTACAGTACCACACATACACTGATCTTTATATAAACAGAGCGTGTGGTCACAACACACACAGTTTAAGACCATGGGAACAGGTTTGATTTAAAGTAATCTGAGGATGACATGATGAGACAGGATGAAAAATAAATTGACAGACAGAATCTAAAACATGAATTCTTGAGACAGATATCTGTGATTGTCATTCTTTTATTTATATCAGAAGCATCATTTCATTTCCTGCTGTTTGTTTTCAGTTTTTATGTCCTTCGGTGGTGCGTATCTCTGGCACTTTAAACACTGCTCTGCATTCACTGCTGAGTTCTTGCAATGTCATTTTTATGTCTGTGTCTTTTAAAGTTCCTCTCCAGACATGTTTTAAACTCTGTAAAAGTATTCTGCTCTGATGAATATTTTGTTTAACATGGTTTTCCCACAAAAAAGTGTGGGAAAACCATATTTCCTGATTGAGAAATCTGGATCAGGCCTTGAGCCCCGCCCACCACCTGCTTGCTCAAGACAGGTGAAAGAGCAGAGAGTATCAAGATGGTTAGAGGAGGAAACATGTTTGAGCCTGAGTCGGACCCAGACTCAGATGAGGAGTCTGTTGAGACCAGAATCAGAATCAGTTAGCGTCTTTTATCTGTTTATGTTGTTTGTTAGCTTGTAACTGCCAATGGTTGACACAGTGTTAGTGGTTGTGCCAATTCAAACCCTTACTCTCTGTACTGACAAGGTTTCAGGTTCATTTAGCCCCGCCCCCCCCGTCTCCACAAGTTGACAGGATTGGTTCCTTAGGTCTGTGATGTGCTAAACCTTGGCTGTCTGAATCTGTTTGTCATTGGTTCACTGCAGTTCAAGGTGGAAAGACTCAGTCATGGTGTTGACTGACTGTTTCACTCATCATGTTTTATATTGTATAAAAAAACATCATATGTACATTCAAAGTTAAACACTTGATTTTCATCAGTTCCATGTCAAATCCAAGCTGCTGGAGTTCAGAGACAGAACAGCGGAAACATTTCCACTGTCCTGTTTATAGCCTGCACTGCGTTTTGCATGATGAGGAATGAAGGGTGTGTACGACTCAAGAGTCACACCTCATTGTGTCCTCTCACTCTCGTTTGCTTTAATCTTTGGCTTTCAGAGGCACAGAGCTGAGGAGAGGAGCTGTTGTTTCCCTCGCACTGGCGTCTTTACTCTCTTCTTCTTCTTCTTTTGTTTTCACCTCCCTCTCTGATCGTTCATTGTGCAGAGCAGGAATCCTCCCACATCATGGCAGCATCAGTGCTCCATTGTGTTGTCGCTTGCTCGCATTGTTTGCTCAAAATTAGCTGGAGGTGAAAGGAAGTTTGAGTTGCTGCAGGAAGCTTTGCTGAGGTCACCCCTCATCAATGCGCGTGCACACACACACACACACACACACACACACACACACACACACACACACACACACACACACACCATTTAAAGTCAATTTGCTTTAGCAATAAGTCAGACATTTCCTGTTGTTTCTGCAGTAAAAATACATACCAAAGTGCACTCATTCACCAGCAGTTTTTTTTTTTTTTCTTGCACATAGCACACGTATGACTGGCACACACATACACACACACACACACACACACACACACACACACACACACACACACACACACAGAGCCACGAGTCAGAGCTGAGAAATGAATGGAATGAATGAAATGCTGGAAGCAGAAACAACACAAACAGTTTCACTGTGTTTTATTTCCACAGCTGTGAAGGCAGGAATCAGTGCTGTTTTGTGTGTGTGTGTGTGTGCAGATTGTTTCGCTGGATGATTGTAGTTACTTATCATTTGAGTCGATCATGAGCAATTAATTGAAAAATAGGAGCTGTCATTTTTTTAAAAAAGGTAAAATGCGTCACAATAGACCATAATCGAAGCATTGTGGTGCTACAAAGACGCCCTCGGCTTATAAATCATTTTCTCCAGACGTAAAGGAACACGTTTGTTTGGTACAGACCCGAGAAAAGCATCATTTTTATATTTTTTTCAGTTTTGCAATCACAATATTATTATTGTTTTGCATATCGTTCAGCCCTAATTACCAGTATCGGTGTATATGGAGGCCGATTACTAACAAGAAACTGCTGCACACAAACGTATCGAGGTGACAATTAAAACAAAATAAAAAAACAAAAACAAAATACACGTTCAGTATCAAAACTTTTTGTTTACATTATGTGCTTATGATTTTTAAATTAAAAGAAGACAACAACTAAAGTGTATTTGAACAAATACTGGTATCAGCTTCTAAATTCCAGTATCTGTTGGGTCGTGAGTTAGACCATAGGTGTGCGTCTAAGTGATTAGATTCTGCTATTGAAAATATTTCTTCACATCTTGAGATGAGACTTTTTAAATATCATACTAATGAACTTTTGAATGATGCAACTCTGGTTCATGTGTCCAGTGACTGTCTGTATTAATGTGTGTTTTGATGCTGGTCCAGCTCTGAGAGTTTTTTATAGTTTGGATTATTTGACCAAGGCTGACTCACCAACTGGTCAAAGCAGCAACCGCGCTAGGAGACCCTCAGGGGCCCAAATTCACTGAGTGCAAAATACTTATTGTTAATAATTGTAAACTGACAGATAAAGGCAAAACTAGATCTAGTAGATTTATTTTTTCAGTGGATATACTGCTGACACAGAATTTATTCTTAGAGAAAGTTGCTGTAAATAACCTGGAGGTCTTGACCCAAAGGAGGTTAATCAGACAAAACAAGAAATCTGACGACGTCTCTTTGAGCTTTGGAAACCTGAGATATCTTGGAACAGGTAACAGGTTAACTGATCCACTCTGTGTCTGTAGGTGATGGCCAACGTGGTGATGGAGCAGCTGCTTCCCTCTCTGGAGAAAGACATGCTGCCTCGTCTCAAAGCCAAGAAGACAGAGAAGAAGAGAGTCTGGTTCGCTGTGAGTCAGACTGTTACATGATACTTTTATCTGCAGGAATATGAAACCCACACTCCGGCTTTATAAACAGCTGCTGCTGCTGCTGCTGCTGCTGCTTTTTCTTGTTGATGCAAATGAAATATTGTTTTAATACAAAGAGCATTTAAAAAAAAATGTAAACGTGTCATTGTTGTTTATTATGCAGTTTGATGGGTTTACAAGTTTAACCCAGTTAAATCACATTATACATTCATGCTGGAGGCCATGTCCTATATTATACATGAATCTGCTGTAGCTGTAAAATGAGAGTTCGATTCAAAAATGGGAGTTTATTTTTGAAATGGTTTTAATGACTTGTTTTTGACGAACGCACTGATCGTACTCAGACGGTGGAGGCGGCGTACATCCTGATCCAGGAGCATCTGTTGGAGGGACTGTCGGCGCTGAAGGAGGAATGTCGGACGTCGGTCCGGCAGCAAGAGGTGACGATCCACTCCGACATGGACCAGATCCTCAACTCCAGACGGCAGCTGGAGGAAAAAGTCCGAGGTACCGTTCTTATCCTCCAGGCTGACTGACACTCACTGCTGTCAGGGGACTGATGGGTTCAGGTTGCTTCTAAAAAAAAATAAAGGCTTTTATTTCCTTCTGCAGCCAAAGTGTCAGAGCCGGCGGAGAAGCTGTGCTCCGAGTCCGTCCAGCCGTACCTGGGCTCGGTCCTGGAGGAACTGATGGAGCCGATCAGTTCCGGTTTCCACGAGGGACGCCAGCTGAGCGAGAACATGATGGACCAGGTGTGTCAGGACTTCCTGGTGGGAGGAGAGAACGAGCGACTGAAGAAGGTTCGTTCATATTTACCCTCCTCTGGCTATTTTTCAATCCAATATAATAATAGGAAATAAATAATAAAACCTGTGACTTTAAATTATGAACTGAGGAAAAAATTCTTTTGTCATGATGGGATTTATTTTTCCTTACGGGCATGACCTAATTAGAGGCTGTGGCATGACTGACCCATCAAAGCTGATCTCTCTGCTCTGCATCCGGCTGCTCTCAGCCTCAGTGTTCCTCTCGTCTCTATCAGGGTTGAATTCTGGGAACTGAGATCCAGCACTTCTCTTCCTTTTACCTTCTGGATCCTGTGATTATTAGTCACAGTATATTGTGTGTATGTGCTGAAACAACATTAACTGTAACAGCCCAACTCACACATTTACAATCTTAATGTTGTTTAAACCTGAATCGAAAAGCCAAACCAGGGACAGAGGCTGCAAATCAGCTTCAGGTAGACACAGTATTTACTGTGTATTACACCTGTTGTGTTGCCACTCTTAACATAACAATGTTAATCTGTATTATCCCTGTTAAACTTACATGTAAAATATAATATGGAGATAGACCAATTAATTATCCAGGCTGATATATATTGGCTGATATTAGTTTATTACAGATGTATTAGTGTTGTTGGACATGTCGTCCTTTAACTTGTCAGAAACTAGATTTGAGGTAATTCTGCTGTAGTCCAGCAGAAAACACTGAGTTGATTTTTCAACTGTCAATCATCTGTCAGTGTGTATCATGGTCAGAAAACAAACAAAAAAGATCTAATCTGTATCTAGATGCAGATCTGTCTCTGTTAAAAATCCTGTTCAGACTCAAACCTCGACATTCTACTATTACAGTGATGTAACAGGACTGACTTTGCACCTGCAGTGGTTTCTTCCAGTTAGTTTTCATGATCCAGCTATGTGGAAAATCATTGGCTTGAAAGATGGCTTGACAGGTAGGTAGGTCGGTTGGTTGCAGCAGATCATACTGACGCAGCACCCAAGAACAACCTCGTCCTCAAACGACCAAAATGCTAAAACTACACAGGAACAACTTCACGTCATAGAACCACGCAGACACTTTAAATCTCATAAAACAATCAGGGTGATCAGATGATCATGTGGGGTTGTTACTGTGTTTGTTTGCACTTCAAAGACTGTGAACTTTTAAGAGAAATTGTTAATCTACTACAAAAATAATCACACAATATTTGAGTTATTAAAGTCTACCAGCAGAACATTACACACCATTAATTATGCACTGCTTTGAGTTTAAAATCAAACTTCATTTGAGGCCAGAAACTCCATCCTTTTAGGAATCAGTAATTTTATAAATCATGGTAAAACATTCGACCAGTGTCTGTGTCGACACCTCACTGTGTATTATGGCTCATTCTTCTGTCGCCCTCCTCTCTGTCTCACAGGCTCTCGCTGACATGTCGAGACCGAACCTGCTGAGCTGCTACCAGAAGATCGGCTCCCTGCAGGAGAAGCTGCAGCACCTGCAGGAGAGATTCGGTTTCTCAAACATCACAGGAGTGATCCACAGCGCCCAGATCGACCTGCAGCTGGTACACATGCTCTCTCACGCACGCACACGCGCGCACGCACACACGCACGCACAGCACTCATGTCAGATTAATTTCATTCATGTTCTCCTCCCTCAGGCAGACAGCTGAGCTTTGTGTCTCTGCTCAGACAGAGTGGGTGGAGGGATTCTCTGATTCAGTAATACATCAGCCAATATTTATGACACACTTGTGATTGTGTTCCTTCATTACACTGACTCGGTCTTTTCAGAGCTGAAACATTACAAAGACTAATGATGAGTCAGTGGGCGGGTTGCTGGATTTTCCAGCTGTTTGTGTGTGTGTGTGTGTGTTTTTTTTTTTCTCTGTGTTTGGGGCATTAAACTGCTGCCTGACCTGATCTGACCTCGTCCTCCTGTGTGTTTCTCTCAGCTGATGGAGAACGCAGCTTACACGTTTGAGCAGCTGCTGCACAAAGCTGTCCAGGACAACCCAGACAACGCCGGCTCTGCCATCGAAAAGGCCAAACACAGAGTGCTCAAGGTCAGTTTGTGGTTTATAAAAAAAAAACAAAGACACAAAACCTGCTGATGCTGGAATTACAAGAGTTTAAATTACATGAGCTGTATTGTTTTTATCAACAATTTGAAGATACTAGAAAATGAACCAAATGCTGCTGCGAAGATCACTGTGGATTCTTCATGTTTCTGAGGAGATTTTTATATATTTTATATATTTATATATAAATGAGAGACATTCTCATAAGATCGTTTTGAATGAAGGAAACAGGAGGAACGTACAACTATGAGATAATAAGTCTCATACATATATTTTCTCTTTTTCTCAGAATGAGAAACTAGTATAAGATACTCATAAGAAACCAATTTTCAAATAAAAGGAAACTAGTTAATACGATATGATATAAGTATTTTATTATTACGAGGTCATAATGACAAAGATATAATCACTATCCTGCTTCATTAACACAATTACAGCTGTGAGAAACTTTCTTATAATTATTAGATGATAGTTTTTCCCATAATTATAAATTCATTATTGTGTAAACAACAACAATGCACCATAAAGCTCTAATGATGACGCAATTACATTATGTTCATTATGTCCAGGATATTATGCAGAACTTTGGATGTTACTTTTGTAATTGTGGAAAAGCACTATATTAAATATTAATACATATTACCTTATGTTCAGCCCAGTTCAGTGAAAACAAAGGTGAACATACCTGAACTGTTTATTGTAACTGCTGGAGCTCTCACACTGCTGTGGTTAGTTCAAGTCACCTGAATTTGAAGCGGGAAAGTTGCTTCAATGGTTATGTAAGAAAACTTAATGCAGTGAAGCTTGAAATGAAATGTTGTCACAACAGCTGTACTGACCTTTGACCTTCTCTTCCCGCAGCAATATGACTATGACAGCAGCACAGTGAGGAAGAGGATCTTCCAGGACGCTCTCGTTTCCATCACACTGCCCTTCATCAAGAGGAACCTGGCCCCCACCTGCAAAACTGTGAGTCACAAACACACACACACACACACACACACACACACACACACACACACACACACACAGAAAGACTGTGCAACAGCTGCTTCAGTTGAATACGACTAAAACTGTACATGCAAGCACAGATATCTGCATACATACACAGTTCTGTATCAGCTGTATGAAAGCAGAAGAAATCAACAGAATAAAATAGGGTGGCTGTGGCTCAGGAGGTAGAGCAGATCATCAACTAAGCAAGAACCCTAAATTGTGATGTATGAATGTGTGAGTGAATGGGTGAATGTGGAATATTGTAAAGCACTTTCATTGGTCGATACAACTACAACAGTGCTATACAAGTGCAAGTACTTTTTAGAATAATGCACAAATCGCACAAAAGTAAACATGATTCACATTTGATTGGAGCTCCCTCTAGAAAAAATACATGAGAGCACACAATCTTACTGCACATTCTGTTAATATAAATATCAGTTGATAAAATGGTCTATAGATGTTTTTTTAAGTGTACAGATAATTCATACATGTGTATGCAAAGTGTTTATGTTTCAGTGAATACACAAGTGTTCAGTTTGAAAACACAGGTGCACATGCTAAAAGTCCCAGGTTCCTGTGGGTAGTTTTTCCCGGGGAAACAAGTACATTTTGGCCGAAACTCCCAGGAAATGGTGCACCCGAACAAATACCGTCACTCCAAACAAACTCTCCAAATTTTGATCCCTGTGTCTTTGTCTGTCTGTGCAGGAGCTTCAGGATCTTGAACAGTCCATCTACTCTGACCACTCTAACTTTATCCACGTTGAGAACGTTTATGAAGGCATCCTCCTTCAAACTCTGGACAAGGAGGTCACCAAAGGTACAGTAAGATACACTAACGATGACGAAACAGGCAAAAACACACAGGACGCCTCTGATAACTTCCTGTCTTCTCTTTGTCCTGCAGTGGTGAAGGAAGCGGCGAGCCTGAAGAAATACAACCTGTTCACAGACAGCAGAGACCTGATTAGCCAATCCAGCCGCTCCAGCCTCTCCTCCCCGTCCGTCTCCACTCCGGGCAGTCCTGCCATGGCGCTTGCCTCCCCTTCTAAAACTTCCTTTGAGCCCCAGCCCCCCTCTCCTCTTGTGGTGAATGGTCTGTCTTCAAGCCCCCTGAAGGGAGAGCAGCAGGAGAAAGAGAACGGCGTGCTGCCAGGTGAATCCTCAGCGGACACGACAGTGATTGAGGCGCCTCTGGGGAAAGTTGAACAAAAAGAGATTGATCAGAGCGTCGCTGTCAACCAGGAGGAGGAGATACCTGCACCCGTAGCAGAAGAGGTCATCCAAACTGTGAAGGCAGAAGCAGACGCCACTGTTGCACTTGAGACGGCGGCTTTAATAGACACACCCACTGCGAATGGGACACAAGAAGTTAACGTAGCAGCCGCCCCAGAGACTGTGACCCAAGAGGAAGTGATTTCTGTCAAGACAGAGAAAGTTGAATTGGCTGCTGAGCCGGAGACGCAGAGCACAGATGCTCTAAAAGAAGCAGAAGTAGCTTTGGAAGAAATTCCCACTGTTGTAGAAAGTTTAAAGACAGATGCAGAAGAAGCTGCAGAACAAACAGAAGCTCCTGAACCAAGTCCTGATCCTTCAAATGAAGCAGTCCCAGCTTCAGCAGTGGAGACTGGTTCCCAGCCAGTAACCAGCTGTGATGAAGACAGACAGTGCGAGAGCTCAGAAGTCAAGTCAGAGGCGCCCTCTAGTGGTGAAGCCCCTGTAGTAACATCTGGAGATGTCGGCCAGGACTTGGAGGTAAACAAAGCAGAGCCAGTTCCTGTCTCAGATCCTAATTCTCTGGATGTGTCAGTAGGAAGTGAGTCACACGCGTCAGATGTGGAGTCCACAGAGGAAGTCAAGGTCACACAGAGCAGCCAGGATGAAGTCTCAACAACCTCTGATGTCTTGGAAGACGATGCCAACGTCAGCAAATCACCCGTGAGCTCAGACGACGCACCCGAGGACAAAAGCACAAGCAACGAGCCGTCTCCTCAGACCCAGAAGGAGGACGACACGAGCTGCGATGTCAGTGTGGGCGGGGACATGGAAGCAGGAGCGAGTGTAAACGTGGAGGCAACCTCTCCGTCTTCTGGGCCCGAAAAAGAGGAAACCCCGTCCAGCCCTGAGGCCCGGCCACAAGACTGCATCAAGGACATCCGCGACCTGGTGGTGGAGGTGATTGAGGTGGAGGAGCTGATGCAGCATTACCCAAGCGGAATTCCTAAAGATGAATGAAGTATCACAACCAATCACAACAGCGTTAAGAGGACATGTGGGCCAAGTTGATTCATCAGCGCGAGGGACAAAATAATTCAGGATGTTTCTTTGGTCTGCTGAAAGATGTAACAGTAGCTTCCATTTCTGTGATAAAACGAGGACACTTCCTGTCTGAGCAGAAACAGGAACTTTCTCAAACACTTCCATGAATTTTTTAACACATATGCATGAAATGACATTAAATTATTTATACAAATTAATATCATTTACACAAATCATTACATCAGCTGTGTCAGGTATAGAAAACCAACAGATCTGTTTCACTCAGTAACTTTGAAGACTTTTTTTTTTTTTTTTAAACAATTAATTTAGCACCAAGTTGTTTTAGAAAACTTAGATTTAAAACTATTATATGACAGAAGATTGTGAATAACTTTCTGGTGTGGTAGATTATGAATCTATTTTTTAAAGGAACAGTTCGACACATTGTAAAATTTGCTTACACGCTTTCTTTCTGAACGAGGGATGTGAAGATGGATAGGATATCTTGAGACAGGGTGCGGTCAGCCTAGTTAAGCATAGCTCAGCAGGGGAAAGCAGGTAGCCTGGCTCTGTCTACAGTTAAAAAAAAAATACACATACCAACCTCTAAAGATAATTAACATGATATATTTTGTTTATTGAATCTGCAGATTTGATTAATTACAAGTAAAAATCTTGCTTTATTAGCAGCCTAATGTACTTAAAGTATCAGAAGTAAAAGTACACCTTTTGATTAGTACTCATCACGTAAATATTCCCTAACTCAAACTATTTTATATACATATGTGTGTATGTATGTATATGTGTATGCACACACACACACATATACATATATAACATGCTAATTAGTCGTCAGAGGTGTTGGTAGATGTTTTTGGACATCAGACTGAACCGGGCTAGCTGCTACTAGCTACTTCCAGTCTTTATGCAAAGCTAGGCTAACCCTGTCCTGATTCCAGCTCTGTATTTGACACACAGACATAAGACTGATCCATCCCTCAGAACGAAAGAAAATAAACATAATTCCCACAAAGTCAAACAATTCTTCTAAACAGACATGTCAGAATTTAATTTTCAATTCATTTTGAAATCATCAGTGAGATTTAGATTGTTTAAAAACCACTATAACAGATGTTTTAACGTATTAGATCACATGATCTAGATCAGTAACACTGCCGAATTCACACTAAAGCTGAACTTTAGTCACATAATTTTCTCCTTAATGTGATTTTTTTGACCTACTGAGGGATTTTTTTTTTTTTTTTGAGCTACCAAAAAAAAAAAAATCTCATTTAAGTGCCTTTCTGGTACCTCCATGTTGTCCTCACGTGCCTTAGATCTCATGAAGAAGGAAGCCAGCCTCTGTCACGTGGATGGGGTTGTCGGAGAGACTGGTCCGAGTCTGATTACCTGTGCCTTTTACCTGTACAGAGCATCTTGTACAGGCCGGGTTAGTAATTTACAGTTTGAGTACAGGGAGGAACATTTGACCATAAACTGTCCACGAGATGAATGTTGGTTAATGGAAACAATGTGGAAATATTATTAATAAAATAAGAGTCTATAAACAAACAGCTCTCAAATTACTTTTGTGTGAACTCTCCACTCTCTGGTTTGAACTTTGGGGAAAGCAGCACAAAAAACAAATGTTTTTTTTTGCCAATAAAACAAATGCACCATGTTGCTTTGATTATTTATTTATGGTCCACAACAATTTTTAACCAATCACAGTCACACTGTACTGAGAAATATGAAAAACCTGCAAGTAATCCTACATATGTGACGGATTATTTACGAAATACACTTTCACTACAATAATATTCCTTCCATTTATTTGATATATTGCACCACAGAAGAAGAATGTTTCATATTTCAGCAGGACAGCAACGCTCCAGGCACATCAAGGACAAGATAAAGAATAATTTAAAAAAATGCAGCAGATTCTTCAACATTTGTTCATATTTAAAAAGTAATTTTCAAGATTATACAAGGCTGTTAATGTTTTCACTCAAATTACATTCACATAAATAAAATGACATCGTAATCATCCAGAGCTTGGATTTTCTACAGACTAATGCAGTGTTTTCACTTAGCAAAGGCAAAACAAGGAAATAACAGTCATTCTTTAATTTTCTAATTTTTTCCTAATGAGTTTCTTGAGTTATTTGAGTTTGTGAAAAGTTGTTGATTTCTGGATTAAAGGCTCAATTTAAACATAAAAAATATGTTTTTATTATTGGAATCTTTTTCTCACATATGCTGAATTGTGTTCTTTCCTGTAGACAAATTTTATATTTGCAAGTTCAGTTAACCTGCCTGACTCAAAGACTCTTCAGTTTACACTAGCAATTAATTGGCAGTAATTGAAATAGCAGCAATTAAACATTGTGTCTACAGAATTTCCCCTCTAATCAGTAACCAAATTACAATTATTACAAATTTATTTTCAGCAAACGTCCTAGTAAATAATTCAGAAAAAATTGACTTGTAAAATAAATTGTTATGTAATATCCTAATTGATCATTTCCTATGTGACTAATGTGTCTGATGAATGACTCAGTAGTTCCCAGTCTTAGGGTAGAGACCCCCCCCCTTAAGATAAATCTGAGATAAGAAGATGATTAAAGGGATATTAAGACTTTTTGTCCCATTCTTGTTCTTTTCAAACACCAGATACTTAAATCTGTCCAGACCTTGAAAATAGTTCAAAATCAGACATGTCAGAGAGGTGAAAATAATTTTCTGAGTGCAGACATCGATCTGTGGTGAGAGGTCACAAACAACAAAACCAACAATCACTTCAGCCACAGAGTAAAGAAGGCAGAAAGCATTGTTTGTTGCACATTGTTGGTTTGGCTCTGAAAATAGAATAAAACCAGACTCCACTTTCAAAACACAAACTTTTGCTGTTTTCTCTTGCCTGAAATAATATTTGTGAGTTTTCACATTAGGCAAACTGTGGTAAAAAAAGAAAAGAATAAACATTTGCTTGTGTAACATCCAACATCAGAAATATCTGAATGCAGTTCAGTGTTAAACCAACATCAGATCATTAAAACAGACAAAAACTATTAAAAGCTTGTTACACAGGGAAGTTAACATTAAAATATTATTTACAAATCCTTCTGATTAAAACTAAAATTAAATTTAAGACTAACCTCAATATAAAGGTTTGAAAGGTTTGACTTTGGCAGGACTTTGCACACGTCTGTATTTAATAGGTTATACTTTCATTTTGAATTTTAAAGATATCGTATACTTGAAACAAGAAAAAAAAAAATTTAAAAACCCTGAATAAGATTCAATATTTTCAAATAAGACAGATTACTTTTTGGTGCTTTAACATCAAGATAATGACACTTGATTCTAGAAAATTCTGATTGTTTGACTCAATAACAGACTTGTAGACCCCAGAGAGAAATGCATAAAGAAAATACACAAGTGTTGATAAGCAACGAATTCGACACAGCTTCAGCAGCACACACAGGGTACACACGAGGACACGGCTACAGTCTGAGCAGTGATTATACAGTATTCATGTGTGAGACAGTGTGTGAGAGGTGTCCAGGTTTACCGGGAGGCGGTGGTGTAGTTGTAGAAGAACTGTTCGTCGGGACGGAAGCCGTACGCGCTCATGGGTCTGTCTGCCGGGATCTGAGCCGATGGGACAAACTGGTCCGACACACTGGAGAGAGCATGAGAAAAAGAGAGGGGACAAATTAATAGAGATACAGAATTATCAGATACAAAGATGATGAAGACACACACACAAATCCTACCATTGTTCTTGGGGTGGTCAGGCTTAGAACATAATATTGTAAGGTAAGGTCTTATTCTGTATACTACCTGGAGATACTGTGTTTGGTTTGGCTCTATATATGGCTGCACAATGAATCAAAATATAATCGAAACTGCAATATGGCCAAGTGCAATATCTAAATCGCAGGAGCTGCAGTTTTTTTTAATAAAAGTACAAAAAACTGTTGTGCATTATTAGCACCATAAGCATTGTGGTGCTACAGAGACCAGAGCCCCAGCTTACAAATCATAATCTCCAGACTTAAAGGAACATGTTTGTTTGGTACAAGACCCAACAAAAATCACATCATCATTATTTTTAAATATTTTTGTGTGAAAATGAAATGCAAAAAAAAAAAAAAAAAAATCATTCCAACTGAAATCACATATCTGCCAACAATAATTGCGATTTTTTTTTTTTTTTTTTTTTTTGCATATCGTTCAGCCTTAGCTGTATAGAAATAAAATGAAACTGAATTGAATTGAACCCCTGCAGCCATGTTCAAAATTTGGTGGAGGCAGCACATGGTGTCAGAATCACATATTCAGTCATTACATACGGTTGGAGTGTCCACAGAATGTTAAGTACAAGGAGAGGACGTTCAGGCTCAAACTTAACTCTATAACAACACACCACTAGGTGGAGCTCTGACACCAGCCATCTCTCGGGGAAACCCCCCACCCCAGGGCCAGACCAATCACTCAGTCATCATACTGGAGAAAAAAAAGCTCATAAAAAGTTAATGTAATATTCATCTGCTCTGATGCAGGTGTTGGACATCCACAATGAGTCTGAGTTACAGACTGCTAATGGCTGGAGGGGTAAACAGCAGAACAGCCAAGCCATAAAACCCGGAGAGATGTCAAAACACAAGGCTGTGACGAGGGCCGAGGCTGACGGCCAAAACCTGGAGGACCTGGCTGCCCTCCGCCCGGCAACAGGGGCCTGTTGTAGGGGGATGATAAAAGGCCTGTATCGACACCGTATAAATCAGTTACTATGGGGATGTGGATACAGTGGGTGGGGCTGATTTCATGCTCCATCTTCTGACCAGCTGCTGGATGTCTGTGTCTGGTTTCGGGGGTCACAGCGACGGGGCCTGGGCCGTCTCGTCAGGATGGAGCGGCCGGTGGATAAACTGGGCTCTGATGGATGACACCACATCTCACACGTACCCCATCTTTTCTGGGGTTTTTTTTTTTTTTTTTTTTGGGGGGGGGGGGGGGGGGGGGGGTTTGCTGCCCGGCCCCGTTGTCCTCTCCCGGCCTTCTAAAATACGAGCTGTTTGCTTTGCCCCTGCGAGCACCTATAATGACGTGTTGTTTTTAGCCAAATCACTTCCAGCGATCAGTTACACAGCTTGCAGCATATCCCTACTCCCCCACTAGCCTCCTCCTCCTCTCTGTTTTGCCTTTGCCCCCTGCTGCCCCCCCTCCCCCCACCACCACCACCACCACCATCCCCTCTCCCTCCTCTCTGGCCAGAAATATGTCTTTTTCCTCTCCGCACGCTACGGCTGTCAGGGGGGATTTGAGAGCCAGGCTAAAGGAGGCTGGAGGAACACTGGAACTCTGAGTCACACCGTCCGCCTGCCCGCCTGTTTCTGTGGCTGACTGGTTACACCCCAGACTGGACTTCCAGGATCTGTATGAGTCCTGAAGTCCAGTCACTGTCCTGACACACAAGTCTTTACAGGGACAGGACAAAACCTCCCACTGTCACTGCCACCTCTTCTTACTGACGATGGTTTATTGTAACCAGGGCTGGAGCTAATGATTGTTTTTCACTGATTAATGTGTCAATGTCACAATTTCCAAAGTACTTGTGATGCCTTGTCACAGGTTTCATACGACTACAGGTTGTGACCAGCTGAACCACATCATGACTTTTCCTCCTCAGCGTTTTGTTTGAATAATTTCAGAGATAAATTATGAAACTATTCACATGAAAAATAGAAAATGTTACTGAAGAGCCTAAAATATAACTTTGTTTAATTTAAGCTACCGTCCGGATCAATCGACAAATCACCAATTACCCAATATTGACTAATAATTAATTCAGCTTTAACTGCAAACACTGGCTGGACACTGGAACACACCTTCAGTTTGATTTATGCAAAACTTCACCTAAGAAAAGTAGGTTTTTACTTGACAACAAGAAATACAAACTTAAACATTTAGCAACCTACAGGTGAGTGCTACACCTCCTCATTCATCAGCTCAGGTGAAATCTCACATGTCATATCATCTACGATACAGACAGACAGTCTAGGCAGGGTAATTGTTTTTCCTTCAGTTTTTACAGTTGTATCTATTTTGCACAGCAATCAGCCTCCATGTAAAGCCAGTCATTCCAAACCACTAATGACTTACTATTAATTTTGACCTTTTTTTAACTGTTTAAAGTTTTTTTTGTTTTTTTTTTAATTACTTGTTTGTTACTCGGTATGATAATTGTCTCAAATGACAACAAACTCATGTCATAAAACCTACATGTTGCCAACAGTTTGAAATGAATCAAATGAATCAGAAACAGACGCAAACTCAGAGGCAGAAACGATGGAGTGAAGCAGAAGAAGTGCTTTCAAGTCTTGTTCCTTGGATCACTGAGACACTTTGGCTCTCAACCTCAATCGTGTTTTGGATCAGACTGAAATGTGTCCACCGCGTAAGGAAAACTGTCAAGCACTGAAAGCTGTTATCGCATCTCTGGTCAGATTCATAATCGTGTTTACTTGTTCTTCGATCAGATCCTCATCAGTTCCTGTATAACAATCCTCAGTCTGAGAACTTATTACCATGTTTTAAAAAACGCTGTAGCTGCATCTGATTTTTCCACAAGGTAACTGATACTTTCTGCTGTGTGTCTGTTCATGTACCTGCTCAGTTTTCTGAGCGGCGCTCCAGGTAACTTTTACAGGATGTTTGAAATATTTTTTTAAGCGCTGCAGGTCCTAAGACCAGAAATAACGCCCAACACAGCTGCCGTCAGCTGTGATATTTCTCATTATGAAACATGCAAATCGACCTGTCTGGCACCTTATTCACTTTACGTGTGTCAGTGTGTGTTGTGACACGCTGACCAAATGAGGAGGAGGTAGTCGGGGGTCATTAAGACAAAGGGGCCCAGTGTTTCCACATATGCCTATTGGGTCCCAGAGGAGCAGCTGCAGGACGCAGCAGGCTGAGCGGCGGGGACACGTCCATTCCCGCAGAGAACATTCCTCAGTAGTGAACAGGAAAGGGAATCAGGCCTTTTTCCTCCTTTGGCGTGACCCTTCGCCCCCCCCCCTCGCGCGTCTGTGTCTTCCAGGGCCCCAGCCGGGCCCCACTTTGATCTCTCCCCGCTGTCACTGCTCAGGTTACAGCTAACCAACACGCCGGCCCTGGTCAAGAACCAGGTCTCGCCCCCCCCCCTTCACCGCGTATCTCCACGTCTCACCTGATTGCAATGGCGTTCTGCTTTTCCTTCTCTTCCTTTCTTTTTGCCTCACTTCGCTCTCTGGCGCCCAGTCACATCCTGACAGCCTCTCAAAGCACTCATTGATTCTAATGTAGGTGCACTTGTGTTCACAGTCCTCCAGTCAAGCACCGTCTGTCTGTCATGACTTTCTACTGGACACCTCTCAGTCCCTGACAACAGCCCTGTCAACACTGTGAAATCTGTTTCAACCATAAGTTACTAAATTTGATTCATTTAATCAGATACGTTTTAGACCAACGCCAAAGTCCACATTTAACAGTTCAGCTTTACTTTTACTTCAGCCAATATTCACCATGAGGTTAACGTTTTTGCTTTTTATTGAAATCTAATATCTCAGGAGCATAATAATATATAATATTTTGATATGGATAGTACTGGATGGATTGCCATCAAATTTAGTTCAGACATTCATGGTCACAGAAGAACTGTAATAACATCAACATATAAGTTTTTTAATTTGTCCAATATTTTGGGTCATGATCAAATAACTGCAAAACTAATGACATTCCCATCAGCATTAGTGCTAATTAGCAAATGTTTGCATGCTGCACCCTCAAATAAGATCGCAAACTTTATACGTGCTAAACATGAACATGTGAGCTTTGTCACTGTTAGCATGTTAGTATGCTGATGTTAGACAAAGCCAGCCTCAGTGTGTGGTTTTAGATAGCATGCCGGCACACTGGAATCAGAGGCATGACGTGTAACACAACAGCGCCGGTGTCCTCTCCCGCCACGCTGGCTATCCCTTTTACACAGACGTTGATCCAACTCTGTGACGGAATAAAGGCGCCAACATTCCCGCCTTGAACAGACGCCTGTCACAGAGCTACAATGCTAGCATGGCTGTTGACTCTCCTGTTGTTAAGCTGATGGTGCGAGTGTTTGTAGTCAAAATGTTTTTTTCTGATCCTGTGAATTCGATACCTGATAAACCAAAATCCTTTGTCACAAGGATGAAAAAAATCTCACATAAGTATTGCCATGAAGCAGTGCTGCTCATTAATCTGTATCATTACCTACACAGGTCTAAGGGAACAGCTGACAGGATAAGAATGGTATGGTCTCAGTGTGTGTATATATATATATATATATATATACACATACATATATATATAATCAAATCACAAACCCCCCCCACATAACATAGATATATTGATACAGATAAGATATGATATCGTTTGGGCTCTATGTTTTATAAAGATGGTGTAAACCATCTCATTATAATTCATACAAATCACAGTGAATGTACAGTATTGAGTCTATTTTAAAAGGCCCCATTCACACCATGTTTCACACGTAGTTTAAAATAAGCTGCGGAGCTGGTTTCGATTATTATGTTAACCTGGATCACTCAGAGTACAGCGGTCAAATTAAAACAGTCTCACAGACGCCAATTCCCCAGGCGCTCGCAGTATATTTAAAAGGTATCACTTACAAAGCCGAGAGAGAGAGAGAGAGAGAGAGAGAGAGAGAGAGACCAAGAGTGACAGAAAAAGAAAAAGAGCAAGAAACAGACAATAAAGAAACGAGTGAAGGGAACACAGATTGGGATTTCCCTCTCTCTCTCTGTGGCTCTTTCTAAGTCGCCTTCCTCTCATTGGAGTGACTGTGGTGTGGATTCAGCCAATCACAATCACTCTTTCAACGGCAGCCAAGCTAAACATTCCTCCTGGCGAGGGGGGGAGAAAAAAATCCATCGACAAGAGCTTTATCGCACGCAAGGAGAGGTTTGATAATAAATAAGACAAATTACTCACAATAAACTCTGTATTTCCACGACTATTCATCATCTCAGCGGCGTATCGAATTAGCTGCCGCTCGGTATTGGGACTAAGAACGGATACAGAAGAAACTCAAAGTCTGTTTTAGTGATAACAGGACTGATTTTAAATTCCCTGGCTTCAGTTTTGTGTTTCGCTGTGGAATGTCAGCGGCATTCTGGGACTAAAGTAGTTGATATATTGGAGCCACAGAGGAATGAGAGAGAAACAAGAACATGGAGACAGAGAGACAGCCGGGGGGTGTTTGTTCTCAAAGCTGGAGTATTGCTGTTGAGGGTGGAGCGATGCCTTCTGGGATTGGCGAAGGTTGTTGACTCAAGCCCAGCCTGGTTCAATAACACAGATCAGCGAATAGTGATTCAGAATAACAATAAGTGGAGGAGGGCAGCGCTGGCCGGTGGACGAGCCGGGCCAAGACACAGAGAGCTGAAGGTAAACACTCACAGTTTAGTGTTTCCTCTCTGACACGGCCCATGTTTCTGGACAAAGACAACCTGCCCTGCTGACAGCCTTCATCACATACCCCACACACACATACACACGCACGCACGCACACATGCATACACACACACGCACACACACGGACAGGGATCATTTTTTGCCTGTGTCACGGGCTGAAAGCTCAGAGGCTAACGAACGTCAAATCTTTTAATTAATTGGTTTTAAGCTCTAAGAAGTTTACTCTGACAATAGACTAGTTTTCTTACTGTTTTAAACAGACGACATCACATCAGCCCAATCCTTGCTTCCCTTCATTGGCTCCCTGTCCATTTTAGAATTTCAAGATTTTACTGATCACTTTTAAAGCACGCAAGGGACCTGGCCCCGAGCTACATTACAGAATTATTAACCCCATACGAGCCAGGACGCAGCCTTAGATCCTCGGCCTGGGCCCTTATGGTCGTTCCAGAGTCGAGGCTTGAATCCAAAGGTGACTTTTGCCATCAGGACCCCTCGACTTTGGAACGACCTGCCCGTGGAGATAAGGCTAGCAGCATCAGTAACTTCTAAATCACTTAAAACTCATTTTTATAGACTTGCTTTTATGTCTGCTCCCTTATTTATATTGAAGTATATTGTTTGTCCTCCCTCTGTAACTCTACCATATGTCTGTCCTGCTTTTGACCATCATTGCTTTTGATTCGTTTGTCAAAGCACTTTGTAAACTCCGTTTTTAAAAGATGCTATATAAATAAAGTTATTGTTATTATATATTTATAAACACTCCAAAATAATGCGCAGCCAGCAAAGTTACTCATTGTGTAACTTTTTTTTTCTTTTTAACGCCATTTTGTATTTTTACTTTGTTATTAATGCATATGAATTGTTCGTGTTTTTATGTTTGCAAACCAGCAGCCTGATCTGCCCTTTAAAGGAAATGAAGTATTTTAAATTAAATACAGTTATTCTTTAAACTGTCGTTTTTTTTTTTATTAGTGACAAGCAATAAACAAAACATTTAATAAGCAGCAGCTTCTTATTTTTAGCCGGCGCTGACTGTCGCCGTAGCTGCTTGAAATGACAAACGTCTCTGGCAGCAGATTTTATCAGCCGCAGCTAATGAAGGTCACAAAACAGATTTGCCAAAAGGCCAAAATGAGACTTGGCTGGTGTCTGGTTATTGTACTGTAAACCAGTTCCTTTGTTAAAGATAGAAGCCAATCCAAATCCAACATGTTGTTTTGTCACTTTATAGCTGGGGTGTGGAAATCTGCATAAATATAGTGCTGGCAGCAAATGAGGCAGCATGTTTAAAACTGACTTCCTGTTCGCTGATAATCAAACAGTGGATGATGAATGTAGAAGCTTCTTTTTAGGCATCAGTAGAGTTATACAGTATAGTAAAATTATTCAACTATAATCTGTTAATACTATAAATCCAAGGACAGGGATCCCACACCTTCTTGAACAACAAATTCAAGGATTTTTCCAAGGGCTTTCTAGGTCCAATTCCCACAAATTCGAGGACCCAGCACAGCGTAGCTTGAGACACGGTTACAACACTAAGAATATTTATTATAATGAGAACTAACAGCTTTACTGAAGCTCACAGACAACAACTAAAAAGAGAGAGAGAGGCTTGAACATGTGAACACTTCTCAAGTGTGTTGTGTTACAGTGACGGCAGACTGTGGGTCTCTGGCACACATGCACAGGTTGAATCTCCAGTTCAGCTTTTCAGTTTAGTAGTTGTGAATCTGGATCTCTTGTATTTGGATTGTGGAAAATTGTGAATAATAAGATGTGCGAAAGTTACAGTAGGAGTTTATTTCAATGTGTCAGACACATATTTAATTATTTAATTTCATATCTTCTGCTGCTTCTCTCAGTTTCAGGTTTTAGCTACAGGTTGTGAACATTAATTAATTTGGCTACTACCTCAAACTGCTTCTGTCCTCTCAGCCAACAAAAGTAGAATTTTGGTCATTTGTAACTTGAGTTAAACATTGGAAAGCTAAACCAAAGTAGATGTGATAACTAATAGGATGGTATTTATCAATTAACCCTAACCCCCTAGTCCCTAACGCTGGAGTAGGTGAAGGCGGAACTCAGTACCTGCTCAGGTATCCAGTCGGTCCCAGCTCTCCGTTCTGGAAGTCGGCGTAGAACTCAGGGCTGATGGCACCGTCTGCTCCCATGATCCCATCTGCAAGCAACAACGCAAACACAAAAAATGTGGGAATAAAGTTATTATTAGCAAACTGTTGATAGGAGTGAGATTTAAGATTAACGCTGACTGTACTGATACACTGTACTACCGTAAGACACCAGTCAGCCTGCTACATTTTCTCATTTCCTTATTCTGTGCTTGCATGACTAGATGCTGCTCATAAATCTGGATAAGCTGAACCATTAAGCATTACCCGTGTTACACCTATCCTCATCTTTAAAGCCGTCCGTACCTGCGCTGTAGAACAGGTCAGGTCTCTCCAGGATGTCTCCATTCCCAATGAAAGATTCTCCATCCTCCCTGTACAGGAAGGGTTCTCCGGCCTCGTCCATCTGACGGTTCTCCACCATCTCCAACCACTGACCGTTGTACCAGCGGAACTTCTCCGTCTGGATCTTCTTGCCCCACTCCTCGTCATATTCCTGAGGACAGGTGGAGGGGAGGGAGGCGTGAGTGGAGAGGAGCAAACTAGAGAAATGTATCTAGAAATCAGTACACTTCACAAACAGTCTCATCTACAGTGAAGTTCAGCAGCTACAGGTTCAATGACACGTGGCTATTGACTGACACACTGCTCTGATCTGGAAATCACCCTATGACATTTGGTTAATGTGAGTTTGGAAAATATGTTTCCATCAGCTTTTATTGCATCTTCTCTTTTTCAGTACAGTAGTATTTCTATCCAGACAAGTGGGAATGTTTCCACTCAGCAGTGGAAGCCGTGAGCCAGGCAGCCTTATCCATACCAATCAGAGAGGCCACTTAATAGGTTTATGAAAGCTTAATGTAATAGCACAAACTGGCTAATCAACACTCGTTACATCACTGCTAATTACAACAGACCATACAAGTGAAAGCAACGTGTCTGTTACCAAAGTTGCCAACACAATTTTTCTAATTATTTTTATCGAGTCAGTTTATGTCTGGAGACTCCTGATGAAAACTGTTGATGTGTAAATTTTATAGATAGGTGCATTAGGAAATGACATATTAACAGATGTCAGAAGATGTCACCATAAACTGAATGAATGTTCTAATCCCACTGTTTGTCAGGAGGTAGTTGGTGTGTATGCACAGTCATCACAAAAACAAAGGATGTTTTCAATGTAAAATGAGATGTGATGACACTCCATTGAAAAAGGAAGCGTCAGATTTGATTCTGAGGTGGCAGAGGAAACAACTTCCCTGTCCCTGCTGAGAAGCCATAATGATCCATTTCAGCAGAAGGAGAGAGCGTCAAGTATGTGTAAAAGAGAGACAGAATGGTAGAATATTGTGACAAAGGGATATTTATGCGTGCAGGTACACCCGTGCATGAATGTCATCTCCGTCCTCTTTACTACAGCTAATAGAAACCTCTGCCTGGGCTGCTTGCGTGCATAGCTTGGCCAGCGGACGACCACGGGGGTGTGTTTTCTTTTCTCTGCAGGGGCTGAAGGAGGGGAGCGATAAAGGCGACCTTTGAGACTGCGACGCCCCGGCCTGAAAGATTAATCATTCAGACGCAAAGCAGAGACCCCTGGGCCCTGACAGCCACCCAAGGCCCCGGACTCAAACGGGCCTATTGACCATCTCACGGACACCCCCACCCTCCAAGTGGCAGTGACATATTTAGTCACAGGACTGATTCATCAGCAGCTGAAATAGCATCATGTCTCAGATTTTGACTGAGCAATTACGTTGTTGAATTAGTTTAATATGACTAATCAGTTATTAGCATCTGAGCTCATGACAGAATGAGCTCATCACAGCAGAGGTGAGGAAATGCACAACAGCTCTGGGAGCTTTTCAACATATTCCTCTGGAAATATGGCCAGGCTAATAATATCACTGTGAATTAGGCCTCTGTCCCACTTGAAGCATCTACAAAGCTCCTTGTGAAGCCACGTGTGTGTGTTTGTACATGAGCAGGGCCATGATGATCAAAGGCAAACATTTCAGGACTGCACAGTTATGGTGTGTGCTGCCAAAAGGATCCCGCACAGCCACAGAGTAATGATTACGCGTGTGTGTGTGTATGTGTGTGTGTGTGTGTGTGTGTGTGTGTGTGTGTGAGTGTCCACAGCTCTGCTTTCTCTCTCACCTCTGCTGTCCAGCCGCTGACACACTCCAGAGCCCGCCGGCTGCCTTTCATGTGGCTCCCAGCTTAATAGCTCTCACTGATAATTTCAATGAAACACTTCCTTTGCCCCACTACACTGCTTGGCTGTAATTTACAGCTAATTACGCTGATCTGAGGTCTGGCAGCGATCACACCCTGACTGCGCGCTGACCACACCTGTCAGTCACAAGGTGATTCAGGAATTCATCGGTTAGTTAATCGCTAATGTCAGATATGACTGTGGCACGTCAGGAGAAGGTGAGGGTCTATGACTATGAGAGAGGAGCATGTTGGAACATGATCCACTGTCAAAGTCAAAATGTTTAATGTTTGTATGGAAATGAAAATCAGCTTATATATATTTTCAAGAATAACCAAACCCTTTGAATCTCTTACCTGTGCCTTGTTTTTTAGTAAGCTGAATTTTTGATTACCTTCACATTGTCTGCCTTGTAGCAGTATGATTTTAAGGTTGAGCTTTTGCACCAATGGTATCCTTGGCTGGATTATCAACTTGGCAAAGTGAGAAACTGCCGTGGGGTGCCAAGAGCTCCTAAGGGCCCTCAAAATCATTTGGTTCACTTTGTGGCAATTGGTTTGTAGTAATTTCAAAATCTGGTTTTAAGACCTTAATCATTTTAGCATATGCTGTGTTTATATGGTGCATATTCCTGTATTTTATCTTATTTTCTTCCCCTTTTCTTATTTCTTTCTCCTGTAAAACACTTTGTATTTGATAAGTGCTATGTAGATAAAGTTTGCTTGCTCGCATTGCACAGAGTGGGAGGAACATATTTGCCATGGGGGCCCATCACAGGTTTAATCAAGCGCTGCTCCTGTCTGTATAAAAAAACTAATCCCATTAAAACTAAAATGTTGGTCTTCGTAAAATCTGGTAAAATCCTTTGTATTTTTTTTTTACAAGTTGCAGCTATTTAATAAACACTGCATTTTGAATATGGGAATATCAGATCAGATGAGCAGTTGGTTTTCCTACTACAAAGATTTTAGTTTCAGTGGGACTGAATTCCTCCAGTCTGATGATCCTTTGTAGTCTATTTCAGAGCTCTGAATCACATCCTCACATTTTTTCATGATTCAACAATGAGTTGAATTTTGAATTGTTCTCATTGTTTCAGCACAGTTGGAGAAAGAACCTAGCCAACCACGGCTTTACGGGATGAAGAATGGGGACATCATCTTCATGTATAAAATCCTTTGCAAATAAAACATGGTGACAAGTGTGGATGAGACTGATGCAGGCTTTTAGGACTCTAAACAACTTTTAAACTGACAGTTCTTTGACTTACATGAAAACATTAAGTAAACCACTTCTGGCAACACTAACTTTAAATTCAAGACCACCTTCATTTGTACACTGGTAAAATGTCGCTCATGATGGCGTCTTGAGACTCACAGCAATGATGTCCAGCGTGTTGTCACAGACTTTGCGGATCTCTGCGTTGTTATCATGCATCAGGTCGATGAGGTAAGCAGGAGCCTCTGGGATCAGGACTCAAGGAAAGAAAACGTTTTATATTCTCTGGGACATTTCACTGCTGCCTTTAAGTCAGTCAACCCTCAGTCGCTCCTAAATTAATCAAAGGGGGAGAAATAGGGATGTGGAGGCTCTTTGGGGAGGGGAACTGCTCCTGCTGACATTTAAAGACACAGACAAGAGACAGGTGTCCTGTGGCTGAGGGAACAACTTTCTACATTTCCTGTGATGAAGCGAAACCCTCTCTGCCTCTCCCTCCCACTGCAGCGCCTGAATCTGAAATTCCCGTTATATTCTTCCCGCAGAAAGAAAAACATCAATCAGAACATGCTGACAGAGAGCACATTTGTAATTTGACACAAGCTGCCACCGACCACAACTGAACACAATTACAGGCAGCTTGGGAGAAAAAAAAAAGGAGGTTTAGAAAAAATAGGTTGCCATGGGAAGATGATGATGAAGATGATGGGAGAGTAGATTTACTCAGATGCGAGTTAACAGAATAACTTTGGAGCAACATACAGCCAGTGTCACTGTGACTCTCCCACATTTTAAACTGGATCTCATCTAATGAGGAAGAAATGTCCACAATACTTTACAAATGAGCAAAAGGATACGCGTGTCTTTGATGATGACGTCTCTTGTAGCTTTGTGGAAAACCATCTGGTAGAAGACGTAGATGATCTGGCACACAAATTCATCATCCTCCTGTTGGGCTGACATGGAAACAGGCAGCAAGAAACAACAAAAAAAAACATTCTGTATAATAAAACTGTAAAGACGAAGGTAGTGTTTTAAACAACATTGGCACAGTTTTAACCATCACTGCTATCAGTTTAGTTTGAATACGCCCTGTACACATTTACAAAAATGCATTTTTTTACCATTTGCTGTTCAAAGTGACTCAGTTATATCATGTGATTCAACTACAGTCAGTTCCACACCCTTGACTCTTTGTCTCTTGTCAAATTACAACTCTAAACAACAGTTACATGTGTCACTATGGTTGTATGAATTCTGGGTGAGTGCCAGAGACACTCTCCACACTGCTGACAGTCGATCTCTGTTTATATATGTCTTCACAGAGGGATGTGGCAGACGTCAAAGTGACAAAGACTTCAGGTTCATGGAGTCCAAGACAATGTCACACATTTTATCTCCATAAAATACAAACTTTACTCCTGTAAAGAGTAAAGAACCACTCTAAAAAGAAATGTAGAATAGAAGACAAGAGGGAACCAACACTTCATCTGCGGCACACTAACACATTTTAGTTTTAAAACATGTCACTTTTGCTACGCGTACGACGAGTGTTTGGCGTTTTCAAACCCCTAAAATGGAGACTTTTGGAAACGCTGCTCAAGCTGTTTTAATTTGTGTGTTAATCAGTGTGGATTGGAGAAATTGAGACTTTTGGAAATTATGACACAGACACCTGCCTCACCTCCTGATTGGGTCTTTTTTAATTTTTGGGCATTTTTCAATGAAAATTTTATGAAAGTGGAGACAATGAAAAAAGTTCTGCACACTGTCCGACCTGCAGGTCAGACAGGATTTTTTGATTGCCACTTTGGATCCACATGCTTAGATGTGCGTAGATGTGTGAAGTTTTCTCCTGCTATGAAAGTGGAGACAGACAGGAAATACGAGAGAGAGAGAGTGGGAGAGAGACATGCAGTAATGGGTGCAGCCGGGAGTCGAACCAGAGCTCATTACACTCATATGGTGTGCATCCTAACTACTTGGCCATCAGGACGCCCCTCTGATTGGGTCTCATCCATGTTGCATTCATCATTCGTAGTTGCGACTGATTACGAATTACAAATTACCGTATCGTCTTTGCTAGCAGCTGTTGTGCAGTTAAATTCTGTATTTTAATGCTTCAACTACCTTTTTTTTGTCCCTCATTTAGAGTGTTTTCTGCAACTAACCAACTGTAGACAATCTGCTTCCTGTTTACTCCGGCACATGCATGACCAGTGAATGGGGGGGACAAAATGATTGTCTGGACTGAGATTGTTTTAAAATGAAAACCTATTATTGTGGACGTAGCCTTCACAACCTATTCACTTCAGAAACAGTCATAATGTGTCAAATGACAACAGACGTATAGTCACAAACACTTCCTCACGTCTTCTCTTTTGTCTATTTTTAAGTCATTACTATCAACAAAAGACCTTTAAGTGGAAGCTGGGTCATGTGGTATCAACCACAAACCAGGCTGTAACTTTTGCTTTCTAACTCAAAGCTTATAAAACACTGAAGTGCATGATTTTGGTTCTTACCATTGAGCAGCTCAATAAGAGCGGGAATGATGCCAGACTTGGCCAGCATGGCTGCACACGAGTCATCCATGGACACAGTGCCGATCATGATCACCACCTCCAGGATGAGGTCATCCTCAGCAGATCCTGACATCAGGGAAAAATACAAGTTAAGTGGAAGTCTCTGTTTGAAGAGAATAAGGTTATAAAAGGGGCATTTTCTATTTGTATCAGATGACATACACTCTGTTCTAAAGGATCCCCAGTGGCTCATTTTAAGGTCGATGAATGACTCATCGGACCTTTGTGTTTGAGGAACCAGTTTTGATAAATATTAGTTTTATTAGGCAAGGATTATCATTCAGTGGTAGATGAAAGAGGGCTGCAAGTTACTGGGGATCACTTAGATCTGGTTGTGTAATCAATCAATCAATTCTCAGACTGTTGGAAACATGGGCAGGTTTCCCACCCAACACCAACATCACCATGTGTATTTAACTCTGTACATTTCTAGCACTGACTGAAATGTGGCTGCAGCACAGAGCATTTAAAAGGAATTACTTTTTGGCCGCTTGTGTTAAGACATTACAAATCTGGGAACTTTGCAACAGGTTTTGTAGAAAACAAAAGAGAGAGATTGCTCAAAGTAAGGTGTTGAGACAAAGCTGTTTTAATATCTGGCACGGCATCGGTACTAGCATCTATCACCAGTGAGAGAAGTGTCGTTGGGCCTGGTTAGAAATTTGAATCAGAGCGACAAACTACTTAGTGGTCTAGACTACACCCAGGACCCAAGGAACGTCACACCCAGACATGATGAGAGCTGACAGCTCTGGTATTAGACATATTGAGACACAGACCTGAGATCTGCAGCAATACAGCAGGACCATACCAGACTTCGACAAAATATTACATATATTTTTGTCTTTCTTCACCGTTTACTATCAGACAATGCCAGTCAAATAACCTAAATATTTCAATAGACTTTGAATTCTGGTTTGATAAAGATAAAAAAGGAAAAGTCAGAAGTCAGGTCAGGAGATCAGAGATCATTAAAAGTAAAGATAAGGCCCAGACCCTCCTGAGTGTTCTCTGTCTTCATATCATCCATGTCCCGTTACACTTCACTGATAGTGTGATTTAAGGAGAGTAGTTAGAGGTTAAGACAGGGCATGAGAGAGACCCGGCCTTTACGTTTAAAGGGAGATAGATGAGAGAACTATGGCAGGGTTATCCTGTACTACGGTTACATTTCTGTAAGATACTGTAAAAGCATTTTGATCCCTGTAGACAGTGGAATACTGGAGCAATCAGTGCGTAACACACCTGGTTTGAGTCTGTCTTTTAGGTAGGGCACAAGGTTGTACTCCTTGAGCACCAGCGCCCAGTCGAGGTCAGGGATGGTCAGATTGGCCAGCGTGCCCAGACTCTCGATCACAAACTCCTCAGCCTCCTCCTCACTGATCTGAGCTGCCAGGTCCCCAACGTGATCCTACCAGCAGACAGAGGAACACAGAATGACTCTGATCATTGTGTTTTATAAAAATCAGAGCATAGAAAGACAAACTTGAATTTATCGTTCAACTAACAATTACAGAGCAGTAGCATTGCACATTTTCTAGGAGAGTTTTACAAAAAAAGAACTTCCTGTATACAAATGGACTGTGTTCTTGCGGTGTGAGAACCTGTTCACAGGTGATGGAAACTGTAAGTGTGATGTTAGTAAGTGATATAGCTGCAGGCCACACCTGAGACCTGTCACCTGATGAATATATTTAATGAAAAGTCATGCTGCATTACCTGCTACCAGTTCCTCTTTCTGGACAGACAGAAAACTTTTACTGGATGACCTCTGATTCCACAGAATTCGTCTGAATTTCATGACTATTAGTCAAGATCTGCAGCTATAATATGATTTCTAGGTGTATGTTTGGCATTAATAGATTGATTTTACTGGGAAGTGCAAGCTGTATTAATTCCAGCAGCACAGTATCAGTGTATTGTAAGATGTTGATGTGTTGTAGTTTGAGTTAAGACACCAAAAAAGACAATGATAACTTAATATTGATGTTAAGTTCTGGAAACAGGATGGACTTATTGCTCTTTGCTTGTGTTGTCAGTGATTCTGGTAGGACTGGTCTGAGCACTGACCAGGAAGAGGCTCTTAGTGGGTCCACTGTGCTGAGAAAGGTTCCTGATCATCTTCATCACCAAAACATCCTTCAGTTTCACAGCACGCTTCAACAGCATCTTCAGACCGTTACCTAAAGCAACAGAGAGGAAAGACGTGAGGAAGGCAACTTTAGTTAAAAACACAGAGTTGGTTAAAATATCTGTCTATATGTTGAGTTTATCCTCGTCTCTCGAGCTTGTACCTTCACAGACGACCTGGGCGTTGTTCTTGTTAGCAGCCAAGTTGATGCAGAGAGAGATGAGCTCGACATCCATCCTCTCCTCCCCACACTCAAACACCATCTTCATCAGCTGTCAATCAAAGGCTCCAAATGTCAGTTAACCAGTTCATTCAGCATGGAGACTGAAGTTGAACTAATTCATATTAATGTGAGTTGTTATGTGTTTGCCATGTAAGAAAAACACGACTATACGTCAGCATATCAGCGTGTTTGTGTAACATGCTGAGAAATTAGTTTTTTTTTTTCATTTCTTCACACAGTTTGTGCATTTTTGTTCCTGATTGTAATTTGTCATTTTGAAAAACCACAGATCTAAAAAGAGTCAGTCATCAGGGAGCGAGGGAGGGTGAAAATGGGAAATTAAAAGTGTGAGTTTGTGAGTGAAAAACAGAGAGAGCAGTAGAGATAAAGGGAAGGCAAGCGTCATTCCCTTACCTCCCTTATACCCCCCCTCCCCTCCGTGTCTGTCCGTCTCCCCTGCGCTGATTTAACATTAAACAGGAAAAGCTTTGAGCTGGGGGTGGTGGTGGTGGGGGGCAGAGGTGCACTGCTTCCCTGTGAGGAGTCAGGAATCAGAGAGAGAGGGAGAGAAAGGCTGGGCCGGGCCTGGGTTAGGTATCACATACCAGGGGCCCCGGACCCCAAATCAGCCCCGTCTAGACTCTCTGGCACCTGCCTCTGCTTATTTACCACAGACAGCCACCGGAGGCCCTGTCAGGGCCACAGTGCCACGCTGCAGTCCGCCCGATACAGCCACCTCCACCTCCGCCTCCGCCTCCACCCCCGCCCCCCACCTCCACCTCTGTAACCACTTCTCCTGCACTCCTGACATCCCTGCTCTGGAAACCCCACATCCAGCACCACACAGTGACCCCATTAAAAACTGGAGAAGGGGAAAGGAGCAGTCAGTCACAAGCCTGGGAAAGTGATAAAAGAGAGAGAGAGAGAGAGGCCTTTAAAATACAAAATAGGTGAGAGAGGATAAAAGGTGGGAAACGGGGTGAAGCATTTTATTAAGGATGTATTTTTACAAACAGGACAGATGGAGGGACATGAGGAGGGGATAGAAGGGGTTTAGGTGTACGAAGTTGGACTATGTTTTTGGGGAAAATGAAACTGGACAAAAAAAACTTAATGAAATGAATATGAACCACTGAGACTGAAACTATTTTAAAACACTGTGTGTGAAAATGCCTCTACTCTGACTCTGTTGTCACTGATACAGCAGTACAGACAAAACGATTTACAGGTTTTTCTGTTGTTATGACACTGAACATAAAACACAGCATAAAAAAATTAATCATGGCTTAATATGCGCTACCTGTTCAGCAAATAAAGAGTAAACAATCCAATCAAATCACTACTTCATGATTAACCTCACTGCCTGTTAAAATAAATATTAATACAGTGTGGGATCTGTATTGTGTGATCAGATACACTGACATTTAAAATGAGTGATGACAGGCAGAAATCCAAATCCAAATCTCTCTACCCTAACCCATCCCCAACCCAAAAATACCAGTCTGCCATCAAATGAATTTTGAGTGAATGTGTGAATGAGGGTTAAAAAAAATCATATCAATTCTATCTTCCGCAAATTTTCTCTCTCTACATTACGGTCTAGTGCCAGGTAGTGTGTAACATTCTAGTGGAGACTAATAAACAATTTGATTTTTTTGCCCCAAAAAATTCAGTCTGATTTGGTCTAAAATGCTCTGAACCAGCCTAAAAAAAACAGAAGGTAAACTCCTCCTCATGTTATTAAATTCCAAAAATTCCCACAAATATTGTTGAGGACATGGTCTTGGTGTCCTCAGTAACAGCTATAGCCCCAGTATCATCAACGCTAAGACACAAGACCAGTGTTTCCATATGTATCAACTCTGGAGACCATCTTTCGAATATCGAAGAATCGTTTAGTGTGGAAAAACAGAGAGAGCAGGTGTAGCTTCAGATTAAGCTCAGTGTGAACTTACTGTGAGCAAGACACAGATGGACAACATTAGAGAAAGGGAGGTAGAAGAGAGCAGTGAGAGGAGAGTGAGCGGGCTTTGGGGCAGGGTCAGAGGTCACATCCTGGTCATGCTGCTAGCCAGAGCTGTCCTTGCCGCCATGAGGAACCCGTGGTTCAGATCTGCTGCTGACACGACCCTCTGAACAAACAGCCGACCCTCGCAGCCACATCTGGCCAGCATTTACACCCAATCTCAACAAACAAACACAACGCACATTTAGCTAATCGCTGATGATGAGAGGAGCGAGTGACCGGGTCAACTCAATCAAGAGGGAGCCCAACGAAACTCAACAAAAATGTTATGATCAAAAGCTGAAAGAAATTAGCCCAAAGCCGTTTTAGCTTCGGCTGAAAACTTGATTTTCATGATCACAACGCTGTTTCATTTTGGACAAGGAATTCTGTTTCTGTGCCGATGCCCCAGCCTTGTAATGGCTGATGGCATGTGGAAGACAGAAAAAGGTGAAACGGCAAAAAGGATGTTTTCAGGACTCAGTGGAAAAGAGAAGTAAAGGAGTAAAAACAGAGTTGTCATCATAGCACCAGAGAAGACTGAGCAGCCGTCCTCTGGTGGTTTCTGCTTCCAGATGTGGTGTGCGTCCCTCCCTCTCGCTCTGTTTCTCATGCATTAATTCCCGGATGCCGTTAGCTGCTGATGCTAATGTGTCTGTCTTGGTCTGCTGGCGGTGTACATTAGCCAGTCTTACCTGCGGTATGCAGTCTGTGTCAGCAAACATGGACTTGAATCTGTCGTCCATGCTGATGTGGTACAGAATGCACATGCTGAGCTGTCTCTGGCCCTCGTCAGCTGCAACATAAACAGAGGAGGAGGAGGGAAGTCAATGGATGAATGACTGGTTGTGCCGTAACGCTCCACGGGATGCCAATGACCACATCTAGGAGAGCTGTGTGTTTTTTGAAAATATTAATGGGCTGAATGGCCGTTTTAACAGCGAATCCTGTTGGAGGTCAATTGGCACTCGATGCAGAATCAGCAGTCGTCCACTGCAGTTTCTCAGTTTGTCGTGTTAGCAGACGAAAAAACAATATTTAAAAGATTAAATGTGGAACAGGCTGAAAGAAGCAAACTTTTCATGCTGCTTAAAGGGACAGTTCACACAAATTACAAAAAATACATTTTCTAACTTACTTGTTTTTGAGATACTCAGATTTCTGCCTCCACGCCAAAACAATGCAAGTAAACAGAGTGTTGTCAGTGGTGCTCACAGCATTTGAAGATAAGTCTGGTGATATTCTGCATGTTTCCTAATACATCTTATTCCTCTGAGTCATAGAGCTCCATTGTTTCCGAAAACTATCAAAAACACATCAATGATCCACACTGTTACACTGTATGACATGTTCCTTCATTAACATGAACACTCACTGTAGTTTATTTTGACTCAGTTCCACACACACCGTGTCCTGCTGCCTCAAACACTCACTACAGCACCAAATGTGGATTAATGTGCCACTGAAAATAGTCCCCAACAAACACACACTTTCCTCCTGTTTGTTCAGCAGACATACATTTGATAAACACTAGTGTCCACCTTTTTTGGGAAATTACTGAGTGTTTTTTAAAAAATAAACTACATATTTGTGAGATGTTTTTAGCCAGAGCCCACCAGTAACCAGTGGGCTTGAAGCAGACACTGCTGACAGATGGACTAACACATTCTTGGTTTCCAACTGTGAATTGGATTTGTTAATAATAATAAAAATATAGAATTACACTTGCCTTATCAGTAAAAAAAAAAAGAAAAAAAAAGAAAAGAAATTCTCCTCTCTTTCCAGAAACTGTGACCCAGTTCCCCTGGATAATCCACAGACCTCGCTGTGAACAGTTTACATAGGGACTATTTCTCCAGTAGAAAGCAGCTCCAATGAAAACTGTTGACAGTGAGGTCTGTGGATTATCCAGAGGAACCAGGACATTGTTTGTGGAAAGACACAGTCATGTTGATTTTTTTTTTTTTAAAGCTGCATTTGTTTATTTTTCTTTTTGCCACTTGGGAGCAGCGGAACAAGCTGAAAACCTCAAAGTTGTCATGGCAAAAACTGAAAACTGGCCTATTTAAACGTCTGTCAGACAACAGAGCAACACGATCATCCCATTGGAGTTGTGTTTGTGTCCATCTGCTGAATGCAAATCTCTCTTTTATCTTCTCATTTGGTCTCCTCCAATTCCTTATTATTTGGGTTTTAGCTGCTTTTTTTCCACCAGTGGGTCTCTGACTGTGTCCATCTGCTATTTGATGCTGAGCAGGTTGTTAAAAGTTTATCAGAGCTTGTTTGATGGAAACTGCTGCTGGAAACAGTGAGACTGAACCAGACAGGAAATGTGATGTAAAACACAAACTACAAGCTACATTACATATAGTAATTTCATCTAAACATTGAAATATTGATCAATGTAGCTTTTATTGTTTTTTTAATGATGTGAGCATCACAGGCTAAATTCCACGAAAACATGGACAAAAATAAATAAAGAAAACTGTCTGCATGGACAGTTTTCTTTATTTAGGAACTTTGGGAATTTGTCCAATAAAATGAGCACATTCCCTATCACTGCAGTATTTCTGCAGAGTTTATCAAGCCTCTGCTGCAGCAAGGAGGAGATATAGACAGAATGGATTGAGTGTTAGACTGTCAGTGAGCCCAGGACCTTTATGAGTTTGACCTCTGACCAGAGCTGGAGGCTTGGAGGAGGAGCCAGCCAAGAAGAATTAATAGAGTTCAGACCAGAGTTTGACCCGGGGACTTTTCATTAAGAGAAGTGTTAAGAGAGAAGCTCTTCACTGGACCAGAACCACTGACAGACCTCCTGTAATGCCCACCAGCCTCCAAAGCCTCAACCTGGTCCAGTTAAAACTGGTCCCAGCCGTGTTCGGTCACTGGCCGTACAGGGAGCCTTATCGCTGACTATTAGATCCAGATGTGCTCAGTGAACCTCTGGAATCACAGGAGGGAGAGAGGGCCGACAAGAGACGGCTTCTAGCTTTAATTGGGAAAACAGGAGGAAGCATCAATTTTACTGCCTTTAATAAGTTAAAGCTACGCTGCTCGCTGCTCTGGCCCTTCCAGCGCAGCCAGTGATTGGCCAGAACATGTGCTTCTCATTAGCAATCCTTTACCTCAACCAGTACCTTAAAATGCACATGAAAACAAGCAACACACACACACACACACACACACACACACACACACACAAAGAGGCACTAAGCTCCTCCAGACCTGCCGAACTCCCTCACTCTGCTGGTAGGAACATGGAGGATCCTTTATGGGCGAAGAGAGAGATCCTATTAAATGTTCAAAACACTCGTAGGGTTGGGGCAGAGAGAAAAAAAGGTGAGGGGGAGCTGTTAAGAATTAACTAGACTGTTCAGGGGCAGTTAGTGGGAGAGCTAAACTCCAATTACACCCCAGCCTGATTTAAAACCGCCTAACCTTCGTAAAATTACACCCGCACACATTAAGAGGCGTCTGGGCTTGGTTTGTGGACAGCGCTGCTCCATTGTTATTGCATTTTCTGGATAAATAAGCAAGTTGGGTTTGGTCTTCAGAGACATCACACACCACATAACAGGGTAAAATGCTATTAAAGAGGTCCCCACCCCCACTCAAGTTTCCTAATTTGTCTTTGCAAATGTACCAACAGTAAACAGGCGGCATCATGGGACAGAAAGTTGGGATGCTGGAAATAAGGCTGTGATTAATGATTTTTTCTTGTTGTTATATTAATCAATCCATGGATTATTAGATTTGTAGAGTCTATAAAATGTCCAAAAATAGTGAAAAATGCTCACCACAATTACCCAGATCCCAAGGTGACGTCAGCATATTATTTGTTTTGTCTGACCGAGAGTCCAAAGCCAAAAATATTCAGTTTACAATCATATAAAACAGATTGAAATCAACAAATCCTCAGACTGGAGAAGCTGAAAGCAGAGGATATTTGGTATTTTTGCTTGATAAATAAATTAAACAAAAATTAAATAATGAAAATGAATTCTGTCCATCAGAACTAACTGCTTCAGCTCTCTCTGGACACTCCTTTTTTTTTTTTTTTTTAACTAAGATGAATCTGATGAGGTCCCAGGATGATTAAATGGAAAAGAGAGAAAGAAATATTTACACACACACACACACACACACATATGTATGTATATATATATATTTATATATAAGTTTGTTGTTGTAACTTTTCTCAGACTTTTGATTTGTTATTTTAAGTTTTTTTAAGAATAGCTTAATAAGTCACGTAGATAAGTTAATACAGGGCGGTGGCGCTACATTTCTGTAAGGCTCTGAAACTGATGATCCAACATCCACACCCACTTCACTCAGTGATGAACCCATGATCAGCTGTGCGGGGGCCTGGCGTGAGAAAGCAGCCAGGGTATCAACTTCTCTCTCTAGCTATGTTTTTTCATTTGTTACACAAATATTTCTGTCACTTTTCATGTGAACAACCGAGTGCAACACCATGAATGTTTTCCAGGAGACACTGTTCGAAATTGTCAGCACATCTTAAGAAATTATATAAAACAAGAGAAGCAGCAATTGCTCACATTGGAACCACACACTGGCATCTCTGACTGATAAATAACATAAATAACAATTGACTGATTTTCAAATTTGTTAATCGAGTTCAGTCAAGAGACTAATTGATAAACTGTTGAACTAGCTGGAAAAATGGAATGGAAAAATGTAGATGCAGCTGACAAAGAGGAATCTACTACTTTCTGTTGGTTTCAGGTGGTGGTGGGACAGATCAAGTGGGAGGTGATGATGACAAGTGAAGACTCCCTCTCCACTTTCATCTTATCACTGGGGCTCATGACCCCAGGTCAGGTCTGGATGGTGAGAGTGGAGGCTGACAGAGCCGCCTCCTCCCTGTCTTCTCTCTTTGGAGATAAGACCAGAGTCCTCATGCCGAGTGTGTCAGTTAAAAGGAGGACAGTTGGCAGCGAGAGCACATGATTAATGATGCCTCAGCTCACATACAGAGTGAATTACACACATGTGCAAATACACAAATAAAGGCAAACTCACCAGTGTCAGAACCTTGAGCAGGCGTGATATTTCAGCTAACTTATATTATGTGTGTTCCTTGCTTCCTGAACGAGCAACCCCCACCCCCACAGCCCTCCCTAAATCTCTGAAGACCCCTCCACCTCTCTAGCTTGCTCCTAGAAAAACAACATTTGTGCAGAGGCTCTGGCATGTTATTCTAACAAATATATTATATTAATTATGCGTCGTTACCCGAGCCTCCCCCTGAGAGGTTTCAAAAGGCCCGTCAGAGATGCTTCTGACCGTGTCACATGACCCCGTGGATGAGACAACACTCTGGAGCTTTCAGGAAGTCACTTTTCTAATGGTCACCAGAGGTGGCTTTAGGTCTGGGTGCTCTGTAAGAGCTGCACCTGCACACACACCTCAGTAATAACATATTAGAGGCTCCACTGCTGGCTCAGGACGGATGAGTGTTTCTCATGACATGTGTCTATTTCTGTCAGTGAAAACCTGAAATAACAGTTCCCCTGATACATAAAGTAGAACCCCAATCATAAACACAGATACACACACACACACACACACACAATAAATCAGTAGGTTATAAACAAATCTGAACAAATTAACACAAAACAAACACAAACAATCAGGAACAATAACACGAGATTGTTGGTAAGCGGTGATTGATTACCGAGGAGTGAGGAGAGTTTGGCAATGAGTCCAGCTTGGGCCATCTGGCTGCGCAGCGACGTGTCGAAGGAGAGGTTGAGCAGAAGGCGTAGGGTGGTGCTCAGGAGCTCCTCGTGCTCGCATGGAACCAGCCGGGCCAACTTCTCAACGGCAAACGCCTCAGCCTGCGGGCAACACACATGGCCTAATATTTTAACTGCCCTGAAATAAAACTACATGCAGGAAAGGGTACTGTTTGACATGTTTGTCTACTGATACCCATCTGTACAGATCCCAATTTTTTTTCTTACTGAGGAGTATAAACATTTTCTGACAAAACCTTTTAAGAAAAGAAGCCAGTTCTCGAATGTGACATGAGTTACTAAATCACAAAGGACATAATACTCCTTTTTTGTTTGTGGAGAGACCTGATTTTTTGTGCATATTTTGCCAAAACTACAGTCCAACTAAAATCACTGCTAAAGTAAAAAAAATCAGGGGTACGCATGAGGCTTAGGGACACCGACAATGAACCACAACATCTCCGGTTAAAGTCCGACAGGGAACCCTTGTTCCCCATCTCTCTCCCCTTGTTTCCTCATCACACCTCTCCACTGTCATCTCTAATAAAAGGCATAAAAATTCAGAAAAAATATATGAAAAAAAAAATCTTTGTGAAAATGACTTTCAAATTTATTCTTAAGGAGGGAAAATAAGCACATCAGAAATGTTGCTTTGGCCTCAGAGCCTCTCAGTGCTGTTTGACTGTCAGTCACCATCAGTCAATGATAGAACGGTGAAGTTAACTGCTTCATGTAAATTCAGTTTAAAATGAAAATGATGATTTTTATCATGATTCTCCATCCATGCAGACAGGGAAACAACAAGAGAAAGAATATGCATGGACAAGCCACTGTCATGGAAACTAATAATACAATATATATATAAATTTCGGCCTTTTTGATACTGATTTTTACATTTCAGCAGGAAAAAAATATGCTAACTAATTTCTGGTGGACCAAAATGTTTCCATTATAATGTTTTTTAATAGGTTGTATGGAATTACTGGAAAATTTTAATTATATTTAAAAAATTAATTTCCTACAAAAGAGTATTGTGATTTAGATTTGCTTTACAATTCACAAATGTTTAGATTAAATACTTATCGAGCTGTTCAGGATATGAAAATCCATTATTATGATTAGCATTTCAAGCTGATTATCTGGCAGTAACTATGTAGTTCTGTCACGCTGTATAAATACAAAAATTCCGCACAATATGATCATATGGAGAAATTAGAAAAGTATGTTCTGTCTCAACCAAGACGACATTTAGCATTCAGCTTGGAGAGGGTTCACATGGCCTACAGGCAGGTGGAGGTGTTGAGCTGATGACACCAACCACAACTCAAACACCAACACATGACTGCTGACTCTCTGTTGGGACTACGGTGTCACTGCTGTGTGAAAGTGTGAGTGGAAGTGGAAGCGCTCAGACTCCATCCACATGCTGTCACTGTGACAGTCACGGTGACACAGCAGTGCCAGTGTCAGTCCAGCGCTGCTTGTTAACATGTCTGCTTCCTTCTCCTGTGGTCTCCCTGCAGCCAGACATCACGGTGACACAACCTGCTCCCAGTTAAAACGCACTCGCTGCTACTGTGTGCGAAACCAGCTCCAGTCACACCATCACAAACCAGACCTCGAGCAGCGTAATCAACTGCAGCCTGTGTCAATTACCACTGACATTCCCTTTCCATTAGTGACAGCAGCAGCAAAAAAAAAAATTATCAAACTGTGCTGAAGTCTTATCTGATTAAGAGAAAGTCACAACATGTTTGCTGAGTAAATAAAATGCGATGACATACTGTATCATTATGTGATCAATCTTTTTTTAATCAATTAAACATCCATGTCCTTAAATGGAGAAGCATTTTCCCCTCGTGTAAACTGATACACTCAACTGGGTCAGAGTGTTGAAACCACTATTTTCCTGCTGGACACATGCTTGAGTGAGTCTCAACCCCCTGAAGGGTTCTTTAATCTGAATCAAAGATACACTGAAGGGGAAACAAGGAGATAAAACCAGTTCCTAACAGGGTCTGGCTTTGATAAAGACCCACAAACTGAGTGAGATTGGAACCAGGTGGGGCTGGATTAGGGAAAGCCGGAGCGGTGAGGTTCCTGTATGAGCGCTGTGGGACACGTGGCCAAAAGTGGACCCTCTAAGCATTTTTTAAATTGAAATTTGATAAGTGTGGTTTCTACAGGGTAACAGCTATTTGTCAGAGTGACCTTGGGGGTGTTTTACAGAACAAATAACGACAGCTTGTTTCCTCTAAATTTGACAGCTTTAACTCAGATATCAGAAAATAATGTTGCAAATTAATTATAGTTGTACTGAAGACGTAATTACAGACACCAGGAATTGAGTTAAATGCGAATTAAAACTAAAAAATTTAAAGTTTATCTAAGAGTAGTTCTCTTTTAAACTTCAGTGTGGGATTACTTTTACTATTTTTCTAAACAAATCCATGATTAATGTTGTGTTTGTTTTACACTGAATTAGAGGAACTAGATCAAAATCAGAGCTGTGTAGTAATTAGTCTTTTTAAAATTCAGAATCCACAACGAAAGAGTAAAATGTCATTTTCATGTAAACAAATATTAAAAAGCAAAGAAAAGCGGTGCACTGAGGATAAACTTGGAAGTAACAAGAAATCCCACATGGCCAAAACTATGTGGACACAAACATTCCACCCATACAGTATGTAATAGTTAATCATGTGATAGTGACACCATGAGCATCAATCTGCTGCTAGAACAGCAGATTGGTTGGCTGGTTTAAGTGTTTCCACCACATGTTGACAGTGGCAGCAGGGATTTGCTCCCATTCAGACACAAGAGCATTAGTGAGGCCCAACACTGATGTTGGGTGATAAGACCTCACTCACAGTACTCATAACTCCTAACTCCTTCTCAATTTCATCATCAGCTCTTTCACCCTTCGCTCTCTCACCATGTCGTTCTTGTTCTCCAGGAAGATGGAGAGCTTCTTAAGGAAGGAGACCACCACCAGCAGCAGCTCCTCGTCCTCCCGGTCCAGGATCTTCACCAGCATGTGGACGATGTTTTTGTTCCTCATCTTCAGCTCCGTGCGGGTGTCTTCGGCCAGGTTCAGCAGCAGACACAGAGCAACTACAGGGTCAAAGATGTCGGACAGAACAGAATCAGCTCTCTGCACCGTATTCACATTTTCCTGTTCACTCATTTAGCTGTAGTATTTTGCTGTTCTTGTACTTGTGACTTTGATATTCTGTGTTCAACAAAAGTTTTACTTAGTCAGAAAAAGGCAATTTCTACATTGTATGACAATATCACACATATATCATCTTCAGAAATGTATGTATTATCATTAAGAAATATTCATGATGTCTCGTGTATAATTTTGGTCACATTTCCCCTAAAATTCACCAAGATTTTTAACTTCAGAAACTTTTAGATCTCCATTAGAATGTGACTAAAGTTTGTCTGATTGCCCTGGTGGCGGGGCGGCGGGGCTGAAGAGGTTAAATAAACGGGCCTGGAGTCACAGTGAGTATACTAGTGTTTGCTCATAGCACCTTATTCAACAGCAGTCTGAGAGCACGCCAAGTTCAATTAACTCTAGAGTAAACTGCCAGCATTAGTCTTAAAAACAGATCACGCTGACCCCACAACGAAAAAACTTTGATAAAAAACAGTTTATGCTGCTGAGGACAAGAAACAGGCAGTTTATGTGCTATCAGAACAGGCCTGTGCTCAAAGGCTGCAGCCCTCAGCTTTATTGTTGCTCACAAACTTACATTTTACTTGACCTTTGCAGCATAAGTTCCATGTAGGGGTGGGAGATGTAGCCATAATATCTTTCCCTTTAACAGTGAATCTCTGGGTATATTATATATATTTATATGTTATACGTTATATGTATATAACGCACAGTATGTAACTTAGCTTCTCCCAGTTTGCATTCCTTCAGTGACAGTCGTTCAGGAAGTTTTTACCAGGAGCCGAACTATCCACAGAGGTCTCCTCCTCTCCACAACCAGCGGACCAGGGGATTTTAAGTGGTAAAAATACCAAACAAAGCAGTTTCACATCAAAAATCAGTGATTTGTTTACACTGTAAGGTGGACGCAGGGCATCAGGGAAGGGTTGGGAGCTGAGCTGCCACTAATGTTAGCTCAGCTTGTTTCTCTGATAACTTAAGATCCAGACCTTCAGGAGGTTTTTACTAGCAGTCGAATTATACACAGAGGTGTCCTCCTCTGCAGAACCAATGGACCATGGGATTAAAACTGGTACAAATACTGAATAAAGCACTTTCACGATAAAATCTGTGACTCACCGAAATTCTTTGGCAGACACAGAACGTCACACAGAACGGAGGGGCTGGGAGCTGTGCTGTCTAACATTTACTCAGCTTTTTTCTCTGATGACTAACAACTAAAATTCTTCATCAGGTTAAAATATATAGTTGAAAACGACAAAGGTGTAAAAAGTGCATCTTAAAAATGTGGCTTCAAACTGGATAAATTCATTTTGATGCTTCTGGCAGGAAACCACAACACTGACGCATATGCATAGGGGATATGATGTCATTGACATGCCACCAAATGAAACAGAGCAATCGTCAAAATCATGGATTATTCTAGGTTTGAGAATTGATGGAAACATTTGGAATACTGTAAAAACACAACTCAAAAATACATATAATATTCTGTAGATATAGTCGTCTTTAAAAAATTTTAATGTGGAAAAGTTGCATATAACTTCAACCTATTGTAGAAACTGTATAAAATAGACAATGATAAAGAGAACAGATTTGTGACAGATATTTTAGATATTTTGATGAAGCACTAAAATACATCATCTTATCACAACATATCAGCATGAAGAGTTGTTCAATAATAATTACATCCTAAAATGTTTGTAGTACCTCTGAGAAGCTGCTCCTGCTTGGTCAGAAGACTCTGGTACTTTCTGAAAGACTTCTCATGTTCTTTCTTCAGATTTTGGTTGTCAGAGAATTCTTCATGTGAAATCAGTCAAGGGACAAAAATGTGTCACAGTATACACCCCGAGCTTTTGTCCTTTTGTACCGTGAACACTGCCATTTATCTGACTTTCTCTATCCCCTTTTACAAATATATAAAATAGCTAAACACACTAACATCATCTATTTAATGTAGCAGATGACTGCGTGAAAGGATATAGGCCTTCTTCTTCTTCTGCAGCTCATCTTGCCAGAGGTCATACCTCTTCAGCTCATGCTCGATGATGTTCATACACAGGGCCCCAATCTTGAAATGTGTGACCAGGCCATGGAACTGAGAGAAACTAGAAGAGAAAATTAGGAGGGAGAGAGAGAAAAAGACTTCCATTTATCCAAAAGTGGATTTTCAAAACTGAAATCATATTTGGGATTTCAGCTGGGAGCTGTCATTAAAATGACCCAATCCGTCACCCCTGAAGTAGTTTACAAAGTAAACTGTCAAAGTCAAAACATGCTCCGTCAAACAGTGTGTCCTGGTCTGACTTATAATCAGTCCAACTTGAACCGTTTCACAATCCAAACAGCATAACACTGAAGATGGAGACGAGCCAAGAATGACGATCAGTTTTCAGGCGTACACATCCTCCTGCAGCCTTAATCAGCTCTGACGGACGTTTATGTATTATTCTAGTGAGGGCTAATTTTAGTGTTTCCCAACCCCCAGTTGGAGAGTGAAACTTCAGTGCTAGGTATGCTGCCAGAGGTGGAGGACTACTGTAAGAAAGAGGGAGAGAGTGGATGGAAGCTTTGCTTGAGGTCAAATTCTACATGAACAACTGGGTTTGTACATCTAATATACGAGTATACACTGTAGGCCAAAAGTATGTGGACATACAGTACTTGTGTCCTTTTGGTCTGGGTTCCAGTGAAGGAAAATCTTAGTGCTACGAGGTCCACTGAGGCTACATCCACACTACTACGTTTCAGCGTTCTAAAATGAAAGCAATCTCCGTCCAGACGACCGTTTTAGCTCCGTATCAGAAACGATTTCTATCCATACCATCACACCTGAAAACGCATACATACATAACCATTCACAGACACTGGGCATGCGCGAACCAGTGTAAACAGAGGAAGGAACAGAACTGTTTTAGGGGCTTGAAAACTATGGAGTAGCGTGGATGGCAGCAAGAGTGATGCGTTTAAAACTAAAACTTAGTGGTGTGGATGTAGCTTCATATTCAAGACAATAGTGTTTACAACAGTACTTTCTATCTTTCTACCAACAGTAGTTTGTCTTTGTCCCGTTTCAACATGACAGTGCTCGTGTGCACAAAGCAGCTACATAAAGAAATGGCTTTCCCAGTCTGGCCTGGCCTGCACTGACCTCAACCCTATCCAACTCCTTTTAGATGAACTGAAACGCTGACTGTGAGCCAGGCTTTATGGATCTGGTCTGACTTTCCCTTACACTCAGTTGGCAGTTTATTAGGTACATGTTGCTAAAACTAAAGCAGTCTAATAAACTGTCCAGCACTAAATCCTTCCCTCAAAAACATTAAAACCAAATTCAAAACCATATGAAAGTGAAACTTTAAAGCAATTTCACCAAATACTTGTGTCCCTCTGCATTTGTTTAATCTACGGGTTTCTCTTTACCTGGAGAAGCAGAAGAAGACATAGATGATAGTTGTTGCCAGGTCCACACTCTGCTTCCAGTCCTCCCTCAGGACTCGAGCCAGAGCTCCAAGGGCCGTCTCTGACCAGACACACAAACCAAAAATCAACAAAAACACACACAATGCATGTGCAAACACACACGCACAAAAAACACACATATAGGAAAGGTTAGGAAAAAAAAGGGAGCAAGGCAGAAACAAAGGGCTAGAGATGAGAATGTGTGAAAGTCAATCAGAGTCAGACCGAGCAGAGAGCAGCACAGCTGGAGGTTAATTTAAAGAAGCGTGGGGGAATGCGATGAGGTCGGAGGCTCCTGGAGATTTTGAGCTATGGGTACTTCTCAGCATAAAGACGTGCGTCCCAGGCTTCGTCTCCTCTTTCCACGCTGACCCCAGGCCTCTCGGTTCACACGAACACTCGGCTCTTATCAACACCGGACCGGTTGATGCGGGGCGACAGACAGAGTGAGCTGACAATGCTTTATGACAGATACAAATGAAGCAGTGCCATCTCATGAAGGCTGCGCAGGATGAAGGCTCCGTGCTGTTGCTGAAGAAACAGGCCGGTTGTCACGGAAGGGAGCAGAGCTGGAGCTGAGCTGTGTTTTCTTTTCAAGTCAAAGAGGAGCAGAGTGGACGAGCTGATAAAAGTCAGGAGATTCTACACCGGCACAGTATCTTAAGCTGTCCTACCAATTTTCATCCGAATACAGTGTAAAGTTGAGCAGTTGAGATTTGAACTTTTAACACTACATTTTCAGAAAATTAAAACATTCCAAATAAATTCAGCGTGAGAGTTCTTTCTCGAACTCAAGGTCCACTTACTAGCTTTTTATGCAGCTTTCAATCCCAACTCAAGGTCTTTGTCAGCAGATGGAGTTTGTTCAGCTGTGGGTTGTTTGCTCAGTTGGAACTTGATAACAGCTCCAGGAGTCAGCGGACGGCCAGAGAGAGAGATTCATATCTGATACCAGAGATCCTCTCTGAGCAGAGACGGGTTACTCTCCACTCATGATACATGACCACCTCAGGGATGCAGCTAATCATCAATTAATGTGACAACCTTTTTCTCAGTTAATTATAGTTGATTGTTCAATAAGAAATAAAAGAAATGAAATAAAACTTGTTTTATCCAACTAATACTAACTAACTAATACTAATAACAAATTTATTCGATTCAAGAAGTTGGAACAAACAACCATTTGGCAGTTTTGTTTGAAAATGACTGAAACCATTTATCAATAATCAACCAATTAATCAACTAATCACTGCAGCTCTTCAACTGAGCAGACTCCGTCCACTGAGGAAGACTGTGAGAAGCCGTTGAAAGCTCCAAATAAGCCTGTAGACTTTGAGATTATTGAGGTCAAACTCTGGCGTCAGTTTTGTAGGGTAAACACTCTGAATTAGAGAAACTAATCAAACTCAAACTCAAACAGCTACAAAAATATAGAGCACAAAATGGACATTGACAGTGGACGCACGGGCAGTTTTGTTTATACGGCACTAGGTATCTGCACAAATATGGTATGGACACATCTTCACAAGGTTGTCACACGGTGAGTATGGTCCCTGCAGACCCTCACAGACAGATGATGGGGGCAGATGGGCAGATGATGGAATTTCAGTTGAGTAAACTACCCCAAACATTGAGTCATTACTGTTTTAAATCTGAATTAATTTATTGATTTCAATTCAATTAAATTGTATCTGTATAGCTCCAAATCATAACATGTATTATCTCAAGACACTTTACATGTGACTGTTTTTAATTTAGTGTGAGTGAGTGAGTGAGTGAGTGAGTGAGTGAGTGAGTGAGCGAGTGAGTGAGTGAGTGAGTGTGTGTGAGTGTGTGTGTGTGTGTGTGTGTGTGTGTAATACATATTAAAGGGTTGGTTTCCATTGGAACTGCAGTTTTCATTTAATGCTGTTGCCTCTGCTCTGTGGGTTAACAGGGACATTGTTTCTGCAAAGAGGTGTTACGGTTACTGTTTTTAACTTTTCAATGATGTGAGCAACACAATATGGTTTCTATTCACCTCTACTGCGCTGAGATAAAGGAAGACATTAAAGAGACAGAAAAACTGAACAAATAAAACAAAACTCTCTGCGCGGAGAGATAACTAAGTGTAATTTGGGTGAACCAGCCCTTTAAAAAGTGGAAAGGTACCATTCTGTATGAGTTCCTCCAGGTTGTCTGGGTTACGAGCCAGCTGGAAGATGAGTGTGGCTCCTCTGAGCTTCTCCTGGATGTCCTCATACAGCAGCTCCACATATTCATCGATGCTGTTGATGCTCGCCTCCTCGTCCAGCTGGAGGACATGAACACAGCTCAACACAAATGTCTTTACCACTGTCTCCTGTACGATAAACACATGCAAATACACACATCCTTTTTTTCCAGTTCCTACCTCCACTCCAGTGTAAGGTGTGAAGTCTCGAGGTGAGATACGTTTCTTCTCTTGGTTGTCTGTGAAAGGCAATGATCAGCATCATAAATAGTCCACTGATGATAAACTACGTCCACTTTTAGCATGAGGAATGCTTTGACCTATGAATGTATGATTGTTGTTCGTTGGAAGATTAAAGTACTTGGACTTGTACCGTTTGGCTGCTTGCGGCTTCGCAGATAGAAGAGCAGCTGCTCCACCTCACTGAGTTTTGAGGGGTGAATCAGCCGACACTCCTCAACCACCTTCCGAGCCAAAGAGGATATGTCTGTGTTGGCATTCAAGCTTTTCAGGCGAATACTGAGGGCAGCACAAACACATGAACAATTAAAATTACAGCTTTAGACCAAAACGTCAGACACCAAGTTGTCAGATATAAGGTAGGTTGCAAAACCATGACACAGGAATAAATATTATCAGGGATTTGGTTGTCATACTATCATTATCTACAAGGTCATTTACAGTATGACAGTAAATTCTAAATCCTGAATTTAGGAATTCTTCTCACATTTTCTGACACTCTTTGCGTTCTCCAACCATGGGAACCCCCAGCTCTCCCAGGATAGTTGCTTCCACCTCATACTGAACGACAAGGGCTTTCTCAGTGGGGTGGACATCCAGAGTACAGCCCTTCACTCTCCTGTGGGTCACATTGAAACAAAATAAACGTGGACTAAAACTCAACAACTTTGTTATGATGGATTTTCTCAACATACTTTGGTGTAGTTTTGGTTCTAGAGCTCTAGTTCCTGGTTTGGGCTAGGCTCTCTAGTTCAAAGGATGGGAAATCTCACTTCTACATACAATGATGTACTGCATTAATAGTCGTTCTTCCAAATGTGTGTGAGCAGTTTTGCTTGTCCCTTTCCTGTTTCAATAAGACAATGTGCACAAAGAGAAATGGTTTTCCCAGTTTCCAAGTTCCCCATCTAACACCTTAAGGAGGAACTGTGAGCCAGACATACACCAACATCAGTGGCTGACCTCAGTAACACCCATTAAAGATCTACCTTCTAAATATTTTGTGATTTTACATTCTTATTCATATGATTTTATCAGTATAATTTGTTGTTAAATTGTTTCACTTGTCACTCATTTCTACTTGGTAAATGTATGATGTATTTAATATTTTTCCTGTGTTTCTGTTTGATTGAAATAAAGTTGATATAGTAAAGCATGAAATGTAAATCTCGTTTTATTTTGTTTAATTTAATTAATAGATATATCCAAAAAGGTGCAACTGCTCCAAAATTTATTTTTTTGACAGTAACAGCGAGTAAAATAAATGCAATTATTTTCTATGTCAATAAATGAGCCTCAAATAACATAGGTGAGGTGTCAGGTGTCGGTTTATCTTTAGACTTTTTCAGTGGTAAGTTGCAACATTTTCCTCCACAAAACGGCACTTTAACAGCATTTCTAGCAGAAATGTAAACAGTTATCAGCAGGACATTAACAACATATTGATTATTCATCAAAAATTGACAAATCGATTCAGTTGTTTTTTTTTCATCTTCAAATTACTGCATCACAACTGACTGATTTTACTAGCACACCATAAACAGACATAACATTAGCAGTTAACATTAGCAGTGATTGGGCTAACGGTTGCTACTATTAGCTATTTCTCGTTGTTCTTGACAACGCTAAAACAGGAATATCATTAATTGTAGTATCATAGTTGGCTCCGTGGACGGCTAGCTTAACGGTCATTCATGTAAATGGCCTATCATGCTATCAGTGAACAGCTGAGCATCCTACTGGTGTGTGTTTTACCAACCGGTTAGCTTCCGCTACGAACATAAATAACGTGCTAACAGCGTTCAAGGCAGCAGCCGTTACCTCTTCAGATATTTCGGATCTCCGGCTTGTAAATTGTCCATTTTAGATAATAAAGAAAAGGCACATCATATTCTCTTCTGATGTTGATGGAGACAAGGCGGATGTTATGTATCTCCTCTGCTTGTTGCCAGGGCGGCGACACAGACGTCCGAAGTGTCCAAAGGGGAGAGACTGCTGCCGCCTGTAGTGTCGGAGGACGAGGCTGCTGGAAACCGACATCCTCTTCTCACCCTTCAGACGTCTTTGAACCGACCTGTCTCAGGTTTAATCTTTGTTTAGTCATCTCAGATGGAGTTTGTGCAAATTCCCTGGAACCAGACCAACAGCAGCAGGGACGTAGCCACAATATTTGAAACCAGGAGTCCATGCTTCAGTGGTCTTACCACCAAATAAAGAGATGACTGAATTGGCCGCTTATCTCTTTTAGAATTGATTATAAAATTTTATACAACAGTTTGTTCCGACCAAGTAATTTGATTGGACGACAGGTATTCCATGAGCGCTGTTATAGACTATAACAGCACTGGGACTTTTAACTGCATGTATCACTCCACTTCACAGGTGTTCTATTAACCGTTAATTAGCGTTAGATTAACGGTCGTTATCGACCTTGCGATAAAGGTGAATATATTTCCAGAAATAACATTTGAATTAAATTATGTATGGTCGTCACAAGAGGGTGAAGGGAAGAAGCCTGGATACTTACTTGAGATAACATGTAAAGCAAGTAGCAGGCTAGTGTGTACTGTCCAGTTGTGGAACTATTTATGTTGGCGTAGCCAAATAAATGATAAAATAAACACGCAAATCATAGTTTGTTGTTGCTTATTTAACTAATATGGCGCTCATAGATCTGCTGTACAAAATCAATATCACACGAGAGGGAATGATGTACTGGATATCAGCAGGGCAGTGATTGCCTTTGGTACTAGGCTGCAGATCACTCTCAACATCACTCCCTCTCTGTGATGTAGCTTAATTGCAAAGCAACCCCGCACATAACAGTCTCTCTGCACCTCCAACTGTTGCCTTAAACATTAATAGTAATAAATTAACCTACTATGTTTAGTTAATTTGGTTTGGCATGGTTTAATTTCTTTATTTGTTCAAACATTTTAAATGTCTTTTAAAAAATATAATTAAGTTTAAGGCACTTTGAGCTGCACCATATATATGTAAGTTATTATTATTATTGTAATCCATAGTAGCCTACTTCACATGTACTATGTTGACCTGATGATGGGGCAATGGAAAGTCAGAGGATCACCAAAGTTATTACAGTTCATCGTCTGGGGAACATGAATGTCTGAACCAAATTTCATGACTATCCAATATTGGACGGCCCTGTAATGGATTTAAGCCTTAAAATATCAATCCAACTGACACACCAACAACAACAATTTAATAATGACAAGTTTTAACAAAGGACTGTTGTATTGAATGTCAATACAGAATACAGGGTAATTTTTCTGCTCACTCAGTGAATATAAAGTATATTCAAGTTTTAAAACAATGCAGCCAAATATATGGGGAAAATATATGGTAATCTACCAACAGTGGCCAATGAATGCAAGCCGCTGGGCACTGGAAAAGAAATACTCAAAACCAAACTCTAAAATAATTTTATATGTGCTCACTTTTTAAGTTTCTAAATGTGTGTATATAAAGAAAGAATACAAATTCTCCTTACAAAAATAAAGCAAAACTGCTGTTCCTCTTTCAGACTGGAATCTATCGGCAGATGTGATGGATGGTCTGGCTGCAGGCTGAAGTCACAGAAGCCACTGGGGTGAGACAGGGTTAGATAATACTGAACATGACCTTGAGTAAAAAGGGTCTGTGAACTTGGGGTTTGTTACACTGCTAGTTATGTAACCTGGTTTTGGCTTAAAATATCTTTTGACTATTTTTACTGTGTGTTGAGATGCAGTTCAACAAAGTGGGTTCTCTTGATTACTTAAATCTACGTAACATTAACCTAACTTCAACCTTAACATTTTGAAATACACTGCAGTCTTGCATTTATTCACTTTAGGTTTTGTTAAGGAATTTAACAGAAAAAAATGACTGCTTAAACCAGAGTTGGTTGCAAAAACAGCGCAGAGAAAATTTTTTCATGTGGATTTTGGAAACTTTTAAATCAGAACAGCTTCCCTGAAGAACTCCACATTAGCCATGTATCAAGTGAGAAATAAACAAACAACCAATAGTTGGAATAGTTACTGTAACACAGTAAATCTGCTCTCCAGAAAGTATTTGCTTGTCTCAGCACATCTGTCATTCCCCACCTATGCCACAGCTGATGTCAACTGTCTAAATTTAGCTGTTGGCTTGTGATGAATATATTAGAATATTATTTGTGTTAGGGGTCAAAAATATATACTATTCCCTATGGGGTGCCGAATGTAAAAATTTGGTTACAATTTTTTAGCTGATAAATTGGAATATTTAGCTCACTTTCCTCACATTTAGCTAATTTTCCTTTCTTTTGAGACAGAAATTTGTGTAAAATATCATGTTATATTTAATGTGTATGAATCTTGTGTAAAACTTAAATGTTAAATCTAAATATGAAATCTAAATATGAAATTTAAATATTAAATCTAAATCTAAATTTTAAATCTAAATGTTAAATGTAAATCTAATTGTAAAATGTTAAATGTAAATCTAACTGTAAAATGTTAAATATAAATGTTAAATGTAAATCTAAATGTTAAAATATAAATGTAAATCTAAATGTTAAAGTGTGGGCGGGGCTACTGCAAAGGGGCGTGGCACTTGGAAACACTAGCTGGTCAGCTTAGCTAACAGTAGCCTAACTCCCTCTAGAATGCTTTAAGAAGTCAAAATCAAAACTACTTATCTTACCGTTAATAGTGTGGACGGTACTGGTGGAACTGCACCTTGGAGTGCAGCCCGCACACCTGCCTCAATCTCACCGTCATACAGAGAAGTCCTTTCACTCTTCTCACCGACTCCACGGTCAGTGGCGTGGGTGGGGCTGTGTGAGCTGAGGCCAGATACTGAGGCTGCTGCAAGGGGGTGTGGACCAGAGTGCTGGTCCGGATCATTGCATATTTTCTAAACATTTAGCTTTACACTTGGTGACCCATTTAGATTTAGATTTAACATTTATATTATGATCTAACATTTAGATTTAGATGTTACATTTAGGTTTACATTTAACATTTATATTTAACATTAAACATTTAGATTTAACATTTATATTTCAGATTTATTTCTTCACAAATAACAATTAAATATAACACAATGTTTTACATGAATTTCTGTTTCAAATGAGAGGAAAATGACCTTAATGTGAGGAAAGTTAACTAAATATTCAAAATATATCAACTAAACAATTGTAACCAAAATTTTACATTCGGCACCCCATAATTCCCTGGTCAGTAACTGAAGTATTTCTGGTTGTGTGTAGGTCATTTGTTTGACAGTATAAGATTTGTACCAGTTTTAAACACAACCCTTATGTTGTGTTTTCCTCAACAAAACAGACACCATCTCCAACCACTGTGGTTTAAACATGTTACCTATCCATTTATAAATTGGGTCAAGAAAGGGAGCTGCTAACAGCTAGATGAGTCTCTGACCTATTTTAACTGATCCTGAGGTCAAAGGGCAAAGAGGTCAGTAAGAGTGGCACCCATAGATGGTTAGACCTCATTTCTGAGACGCTTAGGCAAAATTTGAACCTCAGCATGTTCAAGTTTTTCATGTTCAAGGATAAGTCTTGTGTCGTTTTTCTATTGTCAGCAAGACCCGAACTCAAACCCCTCTGACTTACCTTGTCTGCAGACAGCTGGTCACTGTAATTTTTAACAAGTGTTACACAAACATTAGGAAGTAGTGTATTTATTGGGAACTATTTTCAGCCGTTGATTAAATCCACATTTGGTGCTCCAGTGTGTGTATGGGGCAGCAGCATGGTGTGTGTGGGAGTCAAAATAAAATACAGTTTGTGCGTTCATGGAGCTCTGTGGCACAGAGGAATGGGTGAAAGGTCAAAGGTCAAAAATACACCTACCGATACCTCACTGATTAACATGAAATTTATCATTTGTTTCACCAATGTGCAAACAGAGATGTCAGTTTGTGGTTTTGGTTGGGAATTACTGTACATAATATAACTGCATTCTTGAGCTTTGCTCTGAACAGGCTAGTTATTTCCCACTGCTCCCAGTCTTTATGCTAAGCTAGGCTAACCATGTCCTTCAGCTGTGTACTTAACACACTGAAATGAGATTGATTTCCATCTTTCTCTCTTTCACCCTCAGAAAGAAAACCCAAAACTTGTGCATTGTAAACAAACCCCTCAAATGTCCAGTTTGGGCCTGTGTATTAAGGGAATAAGATGACTGATGTGTGAAGAACTGTGCTAGTACAGAACAGGAGCCATGTATACAAACTTGAGAAGACGTTGCTAATTTTAGCACCACATCATATGGCAGCAAGGGCTTGAGGTTGGACTCTCATGTGCTGCTGGAACTTGCAGCCTGAAGTCAAGTCACCTTTGAGCATGCTTGTTGGTCCTGAGAGTCTTTAGACAGAAGGAATCTCCCTCCATGTCTCCACCCCCACCCCCACCCCCTTCTTCACTCCTCCAAAGTCAGTGTCCCTAGCAGGTGATCTGTAAATCTGGTGGGACGTCCTGAACGCCGCCCTGTGAAAAAGATCTCTGCTGATCACTTGAACGCCGACCGAGACGTGTTGAACGCTCAGCTAGACAGATATAGCAGCAGCTGGAGAAACAGTGTCCCAAACGGGCACCGTAACACTGTGTGTTACTCTCCTCTAACCATTGCTCAGTCAAACACCCTCTGGCTATCAAACATCGCCTCATACGGCTGAAATGGAGATTTCACTTGAAGACGATAGCGGCACCTCATCGCCCAACTTTGAGTACAAGGGTGCTCATCAAGCCTTCAGGGATCGCTGGAAGGAGACCGATGACACCATGTGCCGCCACAGCATGTCCTTCCACCTGCACCACACGCTGAGGAGCGAGTTCTTCGCCAGCTACCTGTACCTGCTGGAGAAGGTTCCTCTGGGTAAGAGACATAAAGCTCCAACCTCACAAAAGGTCAAAAGGTCAAGATTTACAACCTTTTCTTGACCCTTGAGTCTACTAAGTATTGGGCATAGCTGACAATTAAGCACACTGGTGGTTTTGCATATCTTGGTTGACGACAAATTATTTTGCATTGCTGCTGATTGTTATTCAAAACATATCATACACAGTAAATTAGTAATTGATTTATTTTTTATTTATTTTCTGCAGTGGCTCTGACAGGCATGAAAATTAACATATAGGGAATTTGCACCCCAGCAATGAATATACTATTATTCTAGTTTAGTTAAAGCCACAAATCCATTACCAAGTTAAAGAAGTTTAATTTGATGCTAATTTGAAAAGTCTACACCATTTTACCCACAATAATGTAACCAAATTTGAAATTGTGGGGAAAGGAATGGAAGAGATGGCCACCAGGAAGATGTTGCACTTTGGAAAGTGGTCAACAGTACTATAAAGTAAATAAATCCTGCAAAATACTGATATGTTCATTTAAAGGTATTATTTGTTGCTCTTGGGCTCTTTAGTAGCCAATACTCAGGTTTAACATGCTACAAATCAAATATCATCTTACAGTTACAGGCAGCATTCATGATATTGATAATGACTTGTTATAGAATCAAGTGCTAAAGACTGTCTGAGTATATATTTCTTTAAAGTGTAAATAGTACCATGTAAGTTTGTTTTAACTGCAATTGCTAATGAAGAGCCACTGAACAAAGGCACATATGGATTATACTTCTTACAACATAACTGGCATCAGAAACTTTCAGCCGTATCAGTTACTATCACTCACACGTAATGCTATAAAGAACATCAGACAATAATTTGGATTGGGTTTAAGTTTCAAGTTCATGTATAAAGAGATGAGGTGCTGCCTGCTTTTCAAACTGTCCTATGTTCTCCGTAACAAAATGTATCTTCCACTACCCTTACTAAAAAACAGAAATATGTCTCTGGGGGTTTCTATCCTTATTCTAAACTACAGTGGTCTCTACTGTACTACTGGATAGGACAAAAAGGTTAAGTAATAAAAAGTAAAATTAAATTAAAAACACTCAGGAATTGTACCACTACAGCCTTGCTTGGTCTAGTTGGAGCTTATGGTGGCTACTGCTAATGTGAGCTAAGGTCAACAAAGTGTAGATGCATACGAACATCCATCTTGCTGGCTAAAATTTGTGACCCTGCGAAGTGTAAATGTTGTTTACATACGTGCACGCATGTGTACACATTTGCCTCTGCAGACAATGACTTGTGGTGCAAAGGCATAGCAAGAAGTTTATGGGTCCGAACCTGCTGGCCGGCCAAGGCCTTTCTATGTGGAGTTTGCATGTTCTCCTCGTGGTTTCCTCTGGGTACTCCAGCCTCCTCCCACAATCCAAAGACATACAGTTTAGGTTAATTTATGACTCTAAATTGATTGTAGGTGTGAATGTGAGTGTGAACGGTTGTTTGTCTCTATATATCAGCCCTATGATAGACTGCTGACCTGTCCAGATCGTATCACATCTCTCATCCACTAATATCAGCTAGGATTGGCTCCAGCCCCCCCATGACCCTATAGGATAAGTGGTATGGCTGATGGATGAATGTCACTGCTCAGCAAAAGGTTTGTAGTCTGGCTTTTTAGAGAGAGCCTTTTGTTTGCATGAATCAACACTTTTTATGAAAAAAACAGAGAAGGGTGATGGGTGGCATGGCATACAGCCCACTACTGAAACTCCCTCTAAAACATTTGTGTTTGTGTATAGATTAAGCAATGGAGAAACGTGTTAATGAGCTTTAGAGGTGTTAGATGTATTGTTAAACTTTGGACAGAACTAGACAAGCTGTTTCCCTCTGCTTCTTTCTTCTTTATGCTGAACAGGCTGCATCCTGACTCCACCTCTGTTCTTAACACAGACATGACACTGACATCTAGAAAATAAAGGAAGTAAAGTTTCAAGCAAACAAAATGTTACTTTTGCTTTAAGATATTAACAGAAAACCCAAGTGTTATGTTTCAACTCTTCATAATGACTGATAGGATATTAGGGCTGGACTGTATGTGATGTGATTGTAGCTGTAGTGTAACAAGTGACCCTAACCTTTAATCCACTGTACATTTGCTCATTCTCTCATTTAATGTAAAGGAAACAAGTGCAGCCTGATCCTTCCTCAGTTAAGAGTGAACCAACAAACATCGTGATAGTATTCTTCATTGTTGAAGGTTGTAAGTTTGAGTTGAACCTAATCCTCTGCAGGCTGCGCACTTGTCCATCATGAGAGCACAAGCTGCAGAAACAGGAGATCCTCACCCGCTGTCCATTCTGGCTCAAAGACGCCTCACTTTCTTACCTCTAACTTGATACAAGGCCCATTAATGGCATGGCATGTCAAGCATGAAAGCACTATCTCATGTCAGTCAACGCTATACATGACAGTCACAGGGCTCCAGTCGGATTATTTACGGACAGCCATGACAGCTTTAAATGGACTGAATGAAATATAAATCTGCCTTTTTATGTCTCAATAGAGAAAATGACAAATCTAAAACAAATATACAGTGGCAAGAAAGTGTCTGTGAACCCTTTGGAATGACTTGATTTTCTGCATTGATTTGTCATCAAATGTGATTTGATCTTCATCTAAGTCACAAGAATAAACAAACACAATGTGCTTAAAATGATATCACACAAACAATTACAATCCTTCATGTCTTTATTGAACACATCCATTAAACATTCACAGTGCTGATGGAAAAAGTAAGTGAACCTTTGGATTTAATGAGTGGTTGAACCTGCTTTGGCAGCAATACCCTGAAACCAGGTCTTCCAGTAGCTGCTGATCAGACCTGCCTAGTGTTCAGGAGGAAGTTTGGACCCTTCTTCCTTATAGAGCTGCTTCAGCTCATATATTCTCAAGATGTCTGGTGTGAGCAGCTCTCTGAGGTCATTCCACAGCATCTCTAGCCTACTGGATTAAGGTCTGGACTCTGACTGGATCTGATCTTTGTTTGAAGTCATTCTGCAGTAGATTTTCTTCCATGTTTACGGTCATTGTCCTGCTGCATCACCAGCTTCCCCTGAGCTTCAGCAGGTGGATAGCCACTCTTATATGATCCTGGAAGAAACCTTGATAAACTTGGGATTTTTTTTTTCTTCTTGACGATGTCCAGGCTCAGAGGCAGCAAAGCCCCAAATCATGCATGCTACTACTTCGCCTTTGGTATGATGTTATGATGTTGGTATGCAGAGCCCTTTTTAAACCATGCTGCATGTTCTTTCCAAACAATTCAACTTTAGTTTCATCAGTGCAAAAAACACCTTACTCACAGAAATGTGATGGAGAGCCAAGGTGCTCTTTGGCAAACCTCTGGTGCAGTGATGCTCCATGCAGCCGTGCACCATGATTTAAATGGTAGACTTGTGAACAGAGCTCCAATGATTCCTTTAAGCCTTTAGTTGTTACTCTGAGGTTCTTAGTTACATTACTGATCATTCGGCATTGTGCCTTTGGAATTATCTTAGCTGGACGTCAACTTCCATGGAGAGTATCCACAGAACTGAATCACCTCCATCTATAGACAGCTTGTCTGACTGTGGACTGATGAAAATCTTTGAGATAATAGCAAATTCAAAGTGTTTTTCAACCTAGCTCTAACCCACACCTCCAATATGGTTTCATCGATGTTTACTCCTGACTCCAATTGGCTTTTGTTTGAAGGCTGTTTTCAGTATGGACAAGGACAATACAATGACTTGTGGTTTGTTATTTCAAATAGATTCTGTTGGTTCATTATTTTTACTTCGATGAAAATCTGATCATAAATGCAGGTAATTCTAAAGGTTCCACTTACTTTTTCTTGCCACTCTACTTTACACATGTTGGAGGGGTGTTAAATTTGGGCCTAAGACATCGGAAATAAACATGAATCTTCAGATTCTGTATCGCTTGATCACATGTCTCGGATTCTGGTCAGGTCAGCCTTTTCTGCAGCCTCTAATCAGCTGGTCTGGTGAGAGATAGATGGTCACGGTGGCATTAGATTGACTCTTCCTAGGCAGACGACTTCGTTGTCAGACTGTCTCCCCTCCCTCTCAGTCTTGCTCCATGTTTCTATACTTACCCTTCCTCTGAAAGCCTTCCCCAGGGGGTCACATGACATGTAGCTGCCCATTCTAGGTATTCCAATCAAACCTGATGCCAGGACGAAATCCTGAAATATATCATAAAGAAGCATGATTTTTTCTGTTTCTACACCCTGTTTTCAGCGAGACTTCAATCTGTTTCCTGGCTCTTTGCCTCGTCCTGATGTTTCTTACATCCAGTTGGAAATAAATCCCCCCTCTCAGTGTTTCACCATGGTGTCATGAATTCTGCCACTGCAGATCCTTGACAAGCAGATGGACGTTCCCCCGTGACCCGTGCCTCCCCAACCCCTCACCCCCTGTACGCCAGGAACGTGTCGTCTAAGCCTTCGGAAATGTTGCGTTCATTCTGCAGGATTTATTTCAGCTCAGCAGAACTGAGGCAGTGAAAGGTTGGGATAGTTTAACAATCCACGTGTTAAGTTCCTTAATGTCACAGTATGTCATTGACATCATATTACAAAAGAAGAGTATAGTAGTGCAGCACATGTCTGAGCATTTTCAATAGAATATACACAACAGTTGAGAACCGTTGTGGTTTTAGATGCAGACAATCCTTCATGTTATCTTATATCTTAAAACAGCTGAGCAGAGTGTAAGAGAAGCGCAGCATGTTCTTATTTATAGTGTTCTGGTAATCAAATTATCATTCTACATGTCCTTTGAGATTGTGAACAGAGATCCTCTCCATGCAAAACAGTCCACTGTCATGTTGTGTGTCTTGTTACAAATACCCCGGTCCTAGTTCCTAATCACCCGCCTAAAGCCGTAATATCTAGTGTAACTTTACGTTTCGGGATCACCTTTAACCATTGTTTAGTTTTTGCTGTTTGATCTTAGCTGACTGGTGAGTCTGGTCTTCACTAAAATATCTCAACAATTGCTGGTGAGGTTGTAATGAAATTTGTTGTGTATCTCACCCAGAGAAGATCTCATCAATCTCACTGTCAGCGCCACCTTCAGGACAAAATATCGAAAGATTAAAATCATGGACTTCACTACAAAATTGTCGTGGCCAAAAGAATTCACGATAACAATATTATCATGATATGTACAGAAAATTTGAAAAAAAAAATTTTTTCCGTAAATGAATTAGATTTAAATACAAATGTAGAGCGGTGGAGACAAA